CCATATCGCCTGGCCTCTCCTGATATTTTTAATATCCCCCAAAGAGTTAGTAGGGGTAGAATAGATGTGAAAATGTTGGGTTTTACTAAGTACCCAAAAATACAGTGGCTTAAGGGACTGATTTGTTATTTCTTATAATTATGTAGGTCAGCTGGTCTCACAGGTTAGTGTCCAAGTGGTGTAGGCTGGGGTCACACATGTGGCTTTATTCACCTGGGCCCTCATTTAGGACTGGAAAGTCCTTGATAGCATCACTCCTGTCTGGTGCTTCAGCTGGGGTGCCCAGAATAGCTAAGGGCTGGCTGGGCCTCTCTCTCCATGTAGATCATTTGTCATTTGGTAGTCTGGCCTGAGCTTCTTTACATGGTGGCTAGATCCCTAAAAAGTGAAAGTGGAAGCTGCCAGGTCTCTGAAGGCCTAGGCCCAGAACCAGGACACAGTCTTTCCATGGTGTTCTATTGGTGAAAGCAAGTAACAAAGCCAGCCCAGATTCAGGGGAGGAAAAATAGACTCCACCTCTAGATGGAAGGAATTCTTGGTGTCTATCTTTGTAGACAGTCAACAAAAAAAAATTAAAATTAAAATCTTCCCTCTACTTACGCTCACCAAATCTTCTGAGTTTTGCTGAAACCAACAGTTACCAAAGAAGAATTTTGCAAAAGGGTCCTTGTAATGCCTATTTAGGATCAAGGGCAGGGAGATTGGGTGCATAGGTATAATTCTATACCAGTTATTTAATAAATTCCACTTCCTTTGCCTTAAATTTCCTTTGTTACTAGTCCTCTACATGAAATGTTGATATCAAAAATTTTCTTTGTGGTCCTTATGTTCACAACTCCTGTTATATTCCACTTATATACTAAGAACCTGATTTGGCCATTGAATTAGAAACACAAAACGTGAAACTTTTGTTTGCTTTTACTGAAACTCTCACTTTTAGTTGCTATGAGGAAAGGTTGGGATTTCTTCTCTTATCACCTCAGAAGTACTAGTGTGAACTTGTCCATCAGGGAGATTCAAGGGCACACTGCAATTAATGAGCTTGGAACCTCACTTGTGGCTTGTAGGACCCCTAGTAAGATAGTAAGTATTGAGGCCGCCTGTTCTCATGATCTTCAGCAGTCACATGCATTGAATTTTGTCACATGATTTATAGACTTCTGCACCAACATGCTTTTCTGTATATGTTCCTCAAACATCAGCCAGATTCTTGAACAGAGGACTTTACACTAATACTTTTTTTCTGTGGAATCTGTGTCTCTTCTCCCAAAACAACTTTATAGTCATAAGTTTGCCTTTATAATATATTTATCAAATAAGTAGAGTGGGGTGTGTGTGTGAAGAATGAATGTAAATGAGTCTCCATAGCAAGCCCCACATAACTGATGGAGCAGAATGAAACCAGAATTCAAAGTAGAAAAATTCCATATAAAGGTGTACTTTCCAGAACTCCAGTCTGGCGGTTTATGCCAGCTGTTAGTATGAAAACTATTTACAAATATACCATTTGCATTGTCTTTTTTATAGTTACCATTTTTTCAGTTATGTTACTGCCTTGAGTGTATTTGTTCTTTGAGGTGGGTTCTGTTCTACATAACAGAAACATTAAAATAAATGACCATAATATAACTGGATGTCGTTACACTGTTTGAAGCATTTATAGGAGGAGCTGAGGGCATAAAATAGTGCAGGCACGCTCCTCAGGGAACACGAGTGAGGTTTTCATGAATAGTTGGAATATACCCTGCAAACTTGCCTTTATTTCCTTAATATCTGAAACGGGGGAATCTTTGTAAAAATCCAGTTTGCAAAGTATAGTATGCTGCTTGTCTCAAATACGAAAGGAAGATAATATGACATGGAAGCCCTGTCTTGGGTATCCTCTCCTCTCTCAAACATAAAGGAGTGAGGGGTTCATTCTAAGGAGCCAGGATTCTGAAAGGGAAATAAGAACTATATACAAGAAGATATTATACAAGGCAGAATGTAGTTAAGTACTAGTGGAAAGGAGGGAGAAGTTATCTGTAAAGTGTGAGGAGGGCACCCAAAATGGTATTGGAGATGGGCCTTGAAAGGAGGATTAGACTTTAAACAGGAGGAGATAGGAAAAAAGGGTAAGAGAAAGGAATTGTGAAGGAGTTCCTATGTGGGGAATGACGGGCAACAAGGGGAGGACCAGAACAAGTTCAGTTGGTCCATTTTGGTTGAAGATTGGAAGAGGAACAGCAAGAGTGATGCCTAGCTTGAAGCCATTTAGGGTAGAGCTTTAATGCCTTGCCAAGGAATTTGTAGAATCAGAGGTTGTTGAGTAATTAGAAAAAATGATTTTGGCTGTATTATCCAGGCAGGCTTGGAGAACCTGAAAGCCCAGATATCAGTTCTTTCTGTGGTCCAACAGAAGGTGATGAGCACTGAAGTAAGTTGGTGGCTGTGGAAATGTAAGGCATATCGTACTTGTTCTTCCAGGATGTGGTGACTAATTGCAAACATGAAGACTTGTTCAGCCTCTTCTTTTAACCTGGCCTTACTTAGAATTTACAGAGGTAAATAGTGAAACAGTTGAACCCTTCAATTCCCTTAATATGAATTTTTATCTTAGCTGAGTGGGTGAATTGTTTGCAGACCTGAATTGATGAATGTGTTCTTCTGAGGCCTATTCAAAACCTAATGAGATTTCAAAACTTTAAAAGCACACAAACGTGGATTGTGAAGAAATTGGACTGTTTGTCTTAACTGAATTTTGTAGCTGCTAGAATGTTCTATTGTGTTGATGATTAAAAACAGAAGCAAAAAACCACGGCCCTGACTTTTATGCTAAATGTTTGGATATGGTATGTTTGTAAAGCATGAGGGAGGATTTTCTTTATTCTAAATGAATGAGCAACACTATTAGAAGTTTGTGGGGTAACAAGACTTTAGTTCTGAAGACTGTTTTGTAGAAAGCGAAAGCCTGTTAAGCTGACCCCTTTGTGCTAGAATTGCAGCACCTCTGTAGCTAGTTACATCTGGAGGTGCTGAGGGCGCTGCTGCTGACACAGCTAGATTTCCATGCTGCCTTTCATGACTGCATCCTGAGGTAGTACTGTTGGACAAGTAATTGAAAATGTTGTGTGGTTTAGGTCTTGTTAGAACTAGCAAAAATCTCTGAAATCTGCTCTCCCTAGCACTGCTGTTAATCAGTTATCAACAGGAACTGGTTTTGCTGAGTTCCACACCAAACTTGACACCATCACAATTACGTTTTAGATGCACTTGATTTGCCTTTGTTTCAGTTAATAGTGTTATCTACTCCCTGGGAGATGATGAAACAAACTGGTGGCTGGGGATAATTAGAACTTGAATTTGACTCTGACTTTCTGCTTTCTTCATGAAAATGAACAGGAAAGAAGTGGTTAATCACAGAGAATAAAACTTCAGTCAGCTGGCGTACCACAAGGTGTTGCCCTTTGAATGCACTGTTGCTCTAGTAGACTGCTTTTGAATGTTTCCAGCTGTTTTTAGGGGAGCAGTGTCAAGTTTGGGTGGGAGTGTCTCAGCCTGAATCATTTGCCCTATCTTTTGTATTGATTTTATTTCTTGGATGAATGGTTTGAGTTGTTAAATGAATTGGAGAGTGCTCTTGTCTTACCTCAGTGCTGTGCTGTCTGTAGGCGCATAGCAGAGCAAGCCTGTGCATGTCTTCACATGCCGTACAGAGTAGCAAGCAGCCTCTCAGCATGCAAATGAGATTGAATTGTGTGTTCTTAACACTCTCGCAAAAATCTCATATTTGGAATCTTTTAGCTTGAGAATTGCCCAGAGTGTGGTCAGCCCCACACTGGAAGCAGCACTTCTTCATGTCTGTTGTATTAATATCCTTGTTATGTGCCTGACCATTCCAGACTTAGTAGTGTTGCTGTAGTACCAGGTTTCATTAGTTTTCTGGTCATATTCTACTAATAGTTAGATGATATAGGGTCATGTTTTTCCTTTACTTAATTTATCCAGATTTGGTTATCCATAGTTTACAGGGATTTTTAATTTTGAAAAATAATTAGTAGGGAAATTAAGTGGAAATACATGTCTGGGTGTTGTATTTATATATGTGAGCAGCAGACATGACATGTCTAGGATTGCTGGTTATTTGGATTCAGAGAAAGTTATTAGTCTCTTCTGTACTGTTTGGCATTTTAAGAGTTCCTATCTTACAAAGTGTCATAATATTTATATTTGGGCCTGGTGTAGTGGCTCACGCCTGTAATTCTAACACTCTGGGAGGCAGAGACAGGTGGATCATTTGAGCTCAAGAGTTTGAGACAAGCTTGAGCAAGAGCGAGACCCTGTCTCTACTAAAAAAAATAGAAAGAAATTAGCTGCACAACTAAATATATATATATATATATATATATATATATATATATATATGTGTGTGTGTATATATATATATATATATATATATAAACAAAATTAGCCAGGCATGATGGCACATGCCTGTAGTCCCAGCTACTTGGGAGGCTGAGGCAGGAGGATCGCTTGAGCCCAGGAGTTTGAGATTGCTGTGAGCTAGGCCAATGCCACGGCACTCTAGCCCAGACAACAGAGTAAGATTCTGTCTCAAAAAATTTGGATAAGAGCTGGAAAGTTACCAAATACTTGTAGTTTAGGATATTCAAAAGTCCTTTAGGAATTTTGAAAGGTAAAAATGAAAGTTAAGGAATTGTGCATATCTTACTGGTTTGCTTTTGTTGTGGTTTTTTCTCATTGTTTTGGTTATTAGGCATGTATAGCCAGCCACATGGCTCAGCATACCAATTAAAACAGGAATATTTAAAATTTTTAGCCTACCTAGTTCTTACTTATTAAGTCCTTCCCCAGACCAGTTCATTTTAAATTATTGGACCTTCTCAAGCTTCTGATTAGCAAGCCTAAAAGGGTAACTAATATATTAGAGGTATGCAAAAGATTTAGTGGTAGAAGGACAGACTTTCTGATCAAATTTTGCTTTATACTTGGGCTTGCAGGAATCGTGGAAGGCACTTCAGTGAAGAAATGGACCAGTGTGTATAATCATGGAATCTCCTTGCTAACCATCACCAGCTTGCTCTCCTTGATAAGTGAGCGAAAGAGTGAGTCGGAGAGAAGGAAAAGAGGTCAACATGAAGCTAAAGCAGCGAGTTGTGCTGTTAGCAATTCTCCTTGTCATCTTTATCTTCACCAAAGTTTTCCTGATTGACAACTTAGATACATCAGCTGCTAACCGGGAGGACCAGAGGGCTTTTCACCGAATGATGACTGGCTTACCGGTGGAACTGGCGCCCAAGCTGGATCACACCTTGCAGTCCCCCTGGGAGATTGCAGCCCAGTGGGTGGTTCCCCGGGAAGTGTACCCTGAAGAGACACCAGAGCTGGGGGCAATCATGCATGCCATGGCCACCAAGAAAATCATTAAAGCTGATGTAGGTTATAAAGGGACACAGCTGAAAGCCTTACTGATTCTTGAAGGAGGGCAGAAAGTTGTCTTCAAACCTAAGCGGTAAGTCTTCATCTTGGAAGTTGTATGTGCTAGTTAGTTGATTCATGTAACTTGGGATTTATGTGAGTATTCATCTCCTTCTCATGGTAGTCTCTTCAGTAAAATGAGAGGGATAGACTAGAAGATCTCTGAAGTCTTTTCTAGCACTTAAGTTACTGTGGTTCTTTGGGAAGGGGAAATTTATAGGAACATGTTTTAGTTCAGCATAACATTGAAAAAAATAATTTTTTTTTTTTGAGACAAAGTCTTGCTCTTTTGCTCCAGCTACAGTGCAGTGGTGTCATCTTAGCTCACAGCAACCTCAAACTCCTGGGCTCAAGTGATCCTTCTGTTCAGCCTCCTAAGTAGCTGGGACTACAGGTGCATACCACTGTGGCCACCTAATTTTTCTATTTTTAGTAGTGACACAGTCTCACTCTGGCTGATCTCAAACTCCTGAGCTCAAGCAATCCTCCCCACCAGAGTGCTAGGATTACAGGTGTGAGCCACCGCACCTGGCCTCTATGTATCTTTTTGTGGCTTGATAGTTCATTTCTTTTTATCCCTGAATAATGTTCCATTGTTTGGATGTACCATGGTTTGTTTATGCACTCACTTACTGAAGGACATCTTGGTTGCTTCTAAGTTTTGGTATTGTGAATAAAACTGCTATAAAAACCCATATGCAGGTTTTTGTGTAGACATAAATTTTCAACTCATTTCGATTGATATCAGAAGAATAATTGCTGGATTGTGTGGTAAGAGTATGTTTAGTTTTATAAGAAACTGCTAAATTGTCTTCCAAATAGACTTTACTATTTTGCGTCCCCAGTAGTGAGTGAGAGTTCCTGTTGCTTTGTGTATCATTTTAGTAACTCTTATGGTTTCTTTCATCTGCTTTAAGCAAAGAGCTGAGCCATTTTAGTTACCTCAGTAACTAAATGATATGTATATTGTTAGTGATCCCTTTGGACTTCCTGCAGAAATAATTTGTATGGTAATTCTATGATATAGTTAATTTTTTAAAAAATTTTTCTTTGAGTGTATGGATTTGAAATAGGTTAACGTGATGGCGATTTATATTCTTTTGCCAGGAGTTAGTTACCAGTGAATATTCTCAAAGTTTGCAATGTCTAAAATTTTTTGTGTACTAAACATTTTTTTCATTTCTCAGTGGAGCTCTTGAGAGAATTATAACGTACTTTTGGATTTCTTACTGGAGTGGAAGAAGAAATATGGGGAAAAGATGTTTAAAATTCAACTCCCTTTATTGCCCAACTATCAGTACATAAAAGGCAGCCAGAGAATGAGTGGATCCCAGTAATGGAAAGGATCTGTGTTTGTCTGGAACTGGGAAGTATTGATGATGATGTATGCATGATGTGGAAATTAGGAAAGTTAAAATATATAGTAGATTTTTGGCGAATAGAAAAATCTGATTAGCTGGTAATACGGAAAAAGTATATTTATGTAGGCCTTAAACATTGAATGCACACTATTTGCCAGACATTATACTAAATACTTTTGTATCTGTAATTGCCTTTAACCCTTTCAATCAAGTTTAACCTTTGTGGGCAATTCATTGTCAAGTAACTAATTTGACAAGGTCACCTCACATTAATCAATGGGGCTGGCATTTGAACCCAGATCAGTCAGAATTATAAGCAGCTTGTGTTCTGCAGTGTGCATGTAATTCTCTAAGTTTGCTTGCCTTCCTCCACTGTGATGGTGTGGAGCAGGCGCCCTCAAACCACGACCCGCTGGCCACATGCGGGTGTTTTTGCCCGTTTGTTTTTTTACTTCAAAATAAAATATGTACAGTGTGCATAGGAATTTGTTCATAGTTTTTTTAAAACTATAGTCCAGCCCTCCAACGGTCTGAGGGACAATGAACTGGCCCCCTGTTAAAAAAGTTTGAGGACCCCTGGTGTGGAGTATTCATCATCAAAAATTACTAATTTAAGCTGGGTGTTGTGGTATGTGCCTGTAGTCCCAGCTACTTGGGAGGCTGAGACAGGAGGATCACTTGATCCCAGGAGTTCGAGGCTGCAGTGAGATATGATTGCACCCCTGCACTCCAGCCTGGCTAACAGAGTGAAACCCTGTCTCTTGGCCGGGCGCAGTGGCTCATGCCTGTAATCCTAACTCTCTGGGAGGCCGAGGCAGGCGGATCGTTTGAGCTCAGGAGTTCGAAACCAACCTGAGCAAGAGCAAGACCCCGTCTCTACTATAAAAATAGAAACAAATCAATTGGCCAACTAATATATATAGAAAAAATTAGCCAGGCATGGTGGCGCATGCCTGTAGTCCCAGCTACTCAGGAGGCTGAGGCAGCAGGATTGCTTGAGCCCAGGAGTTTGAGGTTGCTGTGAGCCAGGCTGACACCACCACTCTAGCCTGGGCAACAAAGTGAGACTCTGTCTCCAAAAAAAATAAATAAAAAACTGATTTAGTTTTGAAGTATGATCCTTGACTTCATAGTTTATAGTGTGAGAAATTATGGTATAAGCAGAGTGATGGAGAAAGGCAAACTAAAAACAAAAATTAGATTTGTATAGAAAGAAAAGAGTTACACACATTCAGTGTTTAAACAAGAGGAGATCCTTTCCACACCCACCACTTGGGCACTGGAAAATTGTGGGGAGATGGGACAGCAGAAAGTGTTAGAAGACAGATACTCCTGATAGTGCACAGTGTCAGACCGAGTCTTTGCAGATAGGCCTGCAGTGTTCAAACTCGGTGTAAATAGAGGAGGGAGACGCCACACTGGTGGGTGGGGAGGCAGCAACAGATAATGCATAAACTTTAGTCACTGCTTGCTTCATCTCATCTCTCTTACTACCACTGCAACCTTCCTATTACCTTCCTCTTCCAGACCATCCTGAAAACCACTTCAGTCCTTCCCTCAGAATACCCATATTGTCACTGCACTCCCAGCTTTAAGCTATGCAGGGGCTTCCTTTTTCCCACCAGACAACCCAGCCTCCACTGCCTAATGGTTAAGCCCCTCACAGTCTGGTCCTCCACTTTCTACCTAGCCTTATCCTCCCTTTGCTCTTTGTTCTGTTAAACTCCCCAGCCATCTTCTCAACAGTCCACATCCACTCCCAGCTCCAGGGCACTGTCCTTACCCACACAGCAAGGATCTTGGTCCCTGCCATAGGTGTTAACCCTCTTACACTGCGCACACTGGCCTCTGCTGCTCCACACTGGGCACTATCACAGGCTGGGCGAGTGCGTGTAGGATGACGTGCTTGTAGAAATTGACTCTAGTCCCTTAACACCCAGAAAAATGCTATTTTGACCCCCAGGGCCTCAGGGGCTATTTAGTCTTGATGTAAGTGCAAATTAATATCCTTGATCAGACTCTGATGTCCTTCACCAAAAGGAGTGATTTATTGGCAGTTACTGTATGAATTTTGCTGCTCTGTCAGTGACTTAAGATGGATCACTCTCTGCTGAGAGGAGATCTAAGTCCTTACTGCTAGCTCAAGACATGCTCCTTTCCTTAGTAGCCACTTGTGGTTTCTGCATATCTGAAGCCTGGTTATTCGTGTTCTTTTCTTAGAAGATATGTACAGTATAGGTAGATGACATATATAGGAATACAGTGACACTTTCATTTATACATTTTGCCTTACGTTATAAAAGTGATTTTTTTTTCAATGTAGCTTTATTCATTCTGGAAGTAAATTGATTTTTGCAAGTAAAAACTGCAGTTATGGTAGAAAAGGAAAAAGAAGGCAGGGGCCTATGATCAGGTGGAAGTGAGTGAGTGATCTTAGGAAGTGCTGAAAGGGACCCTGGAGATCAGCTAGTCCAGGTATTCATTTTCCAGGTTAGGAAAATGAGATCTGGAATTCTGACTTTCCGTGTTTCACATAGTCAAAACTTGAGCTAGTGATTCAGACCTTCTGATTACAGTGGAGTGCTTTTGTTTTGATTATTATTCTCTTCCCTTTTCCTTCTCTCTCTCCTTCTCCAGCCCATCACCAAAGTTCCTGGATTCCCTCTAGGGCTTTACATGTAAAGCCACGTAGGCTTTAGGTGTATGGGAAAGCTCTCTCCTGTTGCTCTACGAGGGACCCAGTGCACATCCCGATCTGTCTTCCCGCGGCTCCCCTGGAGCCCTAACAAATGTAGTATTCAAGGGCTCCCCCAGCTTTGTGGACAGCCTATTCCTATAGTAGAGAGAAACGTGCTTCAGTTGTGTCATCTTTTGCCTCAGTGGTATTTAAAAATTGACTTTTAATTTAGAAGTAGCCAATATAAACCTAGGCAGCCTAAATAATCCTTTGCTCTAGGAACAAAGGATTGGGTATATTGGTCATGCTAAGGAGAAACTGCTGTCTAACCAGGTGGTGATGGCTGGCTGTCTTCTAACATACATGCTTCCTCACTTTGCCTTGAAGATATGATTTGTAGAGATGATTTAACTTTACATTCTAAGGTAATTTAAGTAGAAGGTCACTGCCTTTTATACTACTGTTTTCTACTTCCCCATAGCTGTTTCAGCATCGGGGATCCAACTGTCTTTAGTAAAACTGCTCTTCTTTGCGTCAGTCTCAATTTATTTCTATTTCACAGTTCCCTTGTAAAACCTAATAGGTTTCCTTTTGATTCAGGAAGTGCAGGTGACCAGTGGACACCATAGGTGAATTAAGTATTTTTTCTCCCCTATTAACAGGTTTAAATTGTATATCTTTTTAAATGATTAGTAGAAAGAAATATGCCAGTTTTCGTTATCCTTTGTTATGTCATGCAAATGACATAAAATCATCAGAATGCAATTTGAGGTGAAAGGAACCTTAGAAATTACCTCGCAGTCCAGCCCCTAATATTGTAGGTAAGGAATCTGAGACCCAGAGAAGAGAAGGGTTTTGCTTAAGGTTACCCAGTCAGGTAATGACAGAGCCACACCTGCCTCTCACTACCAGTCCAGGATTTCTTCTGCATTATCATAAACTTGAAAAGAGAGAATAAAATGATTCAAACAACTTTTTTCAAAAACACCTTTGCCTTCTCATTGACAAAAACTGAGGTATGTCAGATTGATTTTTCCCCAAGAAATGTAAATTTATAAGCCATACCATAGCCATTCTAGTAAACAAAAGTTTTATTTTTTTTATTTTTTTAACTATATGTTTTCTTTCATTTCTTCAGTTGAATAAACACTTTAGTAGACATTTATTAAGCTCCAACTATTTGCTTAATAACATTGTGCTGGTGATAAGAAACATGGTCCTTGCCTTCTAGAAAACTACCTTATTCCTGTACTTAAACTGCATTGAAAGCCCTTTGAAGGGTAAAAATAACATCTTCCATGTTTTATTCTTAGAATGATTTCTGGAGTAGTTACAGAATTCTGGTTTCCTTATCCACTTCATCTTCTCCCCATCTAGCTAGCCCGCAGTTCTCAGGGTTGACAGAGAAGGTGTCTATGGAGCAGAATCGGGCTTGCTAAAGCTCGTGTTCTACTTGAGCTGTCATCTCTGGTACTGATGTAACTCTTGTCTGCATCTGTGCTTCCCGGTTCACTTTGCAGATATAGCCGAGACTATGTGGTGGAAGGGGAACCATATGCCGGTTATGATAGACACAATGCAGAGGTAGCAGCCTTTCATTTGGACAGGTATGTGTAATCTCAGTAGGTTATGTTAATTTTGTTTCCTTCTAAAAATCTCTCTTGAAGAAGACTTATGGGCTCTTTCTAAAGGATACAGTACTAATAGCTGACTTGTAACCTATTGTATATAGCTGATTAACTAGTTCCATTAAATTTGTTTGAGTCCCTCATAATTTGCATGGCACTGGGAATACCAAAGTAAATATTTTAACTCTAGGATTTTTTAAGTCGTTTTATTCCTGGTATGCTCTCATTATCATAAGTGAGGATATTCTTGGTAAATAAAGTTTGAACTCAACTCCCTAAACTGAATTGGCCATTAATTGGGCCTGGCAGTCCTGTTGTTTTGTTTTGTTTGTAATACTGACTGATCCCCATATGCTGGAAGCATATAGCATGAATTATATAATGAGTTTTATTGTCGTTTATACAAAATATACACAGCTTCAAAAACCAGAATAATTCCAAAAGAAAAATAGTTACAAATTCTAAGTTTATAAGTTAACTAGGAAAATTAATATTTTTCTCAACAGGTTGCTACTCAGGAATCTTATAGTTGAACTTAGCTAGTATCCCAAGTGCTCTTCTGACCAGCTCTTTTGTCAGGGCATATTGACAGAGTTTCAAAGAAATTATTCACAATATTTGTTTAAAAGATGAATCCATAAGGAAATCAGAAAAAAATATAGGTGAATTAGGATTTTATAAGCATAAAATCAATAATTTAAAAAAATCACAGAGAAAAGTTCAGTAGACTTAACTAAATAAAAAAGAATTTACTTACATGTCAAGAAACAGCATAAAAATTTAAAAGCAAACTTGGAGAAAATACATGAATCTAATGGAATCTAAGTATTAATACCCTTAATATAAGTGTTTATAGAAATCTATATGTATGCTAAAACTGGTAGAAAGTGGGTTGAGAACACAAGTACTTAACTGAATAGGAATTCTCTTGATTGCTAACAAATATTGGGAGAGAGTTCATTCTTACCAGAAATTTTTTAGAATCCAGATGAAATACTGGTGTAATTTTTACCTGATGAAAATGGCAAAGATTAAGAAAAAGCAAATACTTTATTGGCAGAAAAACATTGAGATTCACATGCTACTACTGATGGCATTGTTCATTGGTTCAATCTTTCTCTTAAGAAATCAGGGCCAGGTGTGGTGGCTCACGCCTGTAATCCTAGCACTCTGGGAGGCCAAGGCAGGAGGATCACTGGAGGTCAGGAGTTCGAAACCAGCCTGAGCAAGAGCGAGACCCCATCTCTACTAAAAATAGAAACAAATTAATTAGCCGGGCATGGTGGCGCATGCCTGTAGTCCCAGCTACTCGGGAGGCTGAGGCAGGAGGATCACTTGAGCCCAGGAGTTTGAGGTTGCTGTGAGCTAGGCTTACACCATGGCCCTAAAGAAATAATCAAAAATTCAAAGATACATATACAACCGTGTTAGCTATAGCACTTTCAGTAATGAATGACTGGTCTTCAACTTAAACATCTATTTATATGGAAAAGGTTAAATAAATGTTTATGATGGCATGAATTTTCATTGCCTCTTTTAAGACCTAGTGGCAGAGTTGGAAAATGCTACTCTTCACTCAATGCCCCACTAGCAGGAGGCTTTCCCAGACCTTGTTTGTTTGCCTCGTTTCTCCATCCCCAAACCCCTTTCTATTTCCTATTTTTTGGATACCAGCAGGGCATGAAGATCCTCATTTCCATACCAATATTTTGTATTACCCAACATACTAATTTTTGTTAAAATATCTGTAAAGTGGTATCTCATTGTTATTTTGTTATATATTTACTGGCAAAGTTTGTCTTTTCACAGCAGGACACTGCTGTTAATTATCTTTTAACTTAGAGTGAAATATTCTTTGTATAGAAATTGTCACTTTTGATGTTAATATTATGATTCAGTTTATGACTTGTGCTTTGGAGGTCTTATATTTAAAAATCCTTCCTTACCTCAAAATCTGAAAGACATTCTCTAACCAATCCCCCGGCCTCTTTTGTTAAAGTTGCTATGCTAGCCAGGCTCAAGTGCCACTGTGGTGTTGCCACTCTGTGCTGACCTGGCTGCTGTTCTTCGACCTGCCAGTGGTCAATGGGGAGAAAAAAATACTTCCTAACCTTCTTTTCATTCATGCTCCTGATACTTTTCTGCTTAGGGTTGCTGTTTCTTCATTATATTCAGATTTAACCACCTTCCCTTGCCTCGGGGTTTTTGTGTTATTTTGACAAATCGGTTGATCTTGCTTTTGTGGCTTTTTCTAAGATTGGGTTTAAGACAGAATCAGCAGCTCTAAACAATGGATTATTATTACATAACCATTTTTAAAGGCTTTCAAATGATGTGGGGAAAAGTTCAGTACACAATGTTGAGTAAAAAGCATACAGAAGTGCATACGGTGTAATCTCAATTGTATGTTTTTATGTAAGTATATGTGTTTATATATACATGTAAAGGAAAAAAATGCTTATATGCCAAAATGTCTGCATCTGTAGTTACTTCTGGGTTGTGGAGTTATGGGTGATCTTTACTTCGTTATAAATTTTCTGTGTGTTCCAAATTTTGCCCCTCTACCTTTGCTTTAGTAAGTGTGTATTTTTTAGCCAGGAAAATTCATTTTTAAAAAAATGATTGTTGACCAGATGCGGTGGCTCACGCCTGTAATCCTAGCACTCTGGGAGGCCGGGGCGAGCGGATCGCTCAAGGTCAGGAGTTCGAAACCAGCCTGAGCTAGAGCGAGACCGTCTCTACTATAAATAGCAACAAATTAATTGGCCAACTAAAAATATATAGAAAAAATTAGCCGAGCATGGTGGCGCATGCCTGTAGTCCCAGCTACTTGGGAGGCTGAGGCAGGAGGATCACCTGAGCCCAGGACATTGAGGTTGCTGTGAGCTAGGCTGACGCCACAGCACTCTAGCCCAGGCAACAGAGTGAGACTCTGATTCAAAAAAGGAAAAAAAAAAAATGATTGTTTTTCCAACAAGCTATGAAACAAAACTAGAAAGAGAATAAATGAAATAATAATATTTTCAAAATGATTGTTTTTACCTATAATGTAGTACTTTTTGATTATTAGATCTTCATATGTGACTGTATATGAGTTGTCCTATGGGTTTATCCTTTTAGATTAATTTGCATAGTTTTTTGTCAATGTGCTATTTTATCCAAAGCTTTGAACCCCTGTATGAGTTTAAGCCCAGTTTTTTTCCTGATGCTTTAAAATTTATTTTTAATTTTTCTTATGAAAAATTTCTAATGAAAGTAGAGAGAATAGTATGATGAACACATATACCCACTCCCTAGATTTTGCCAGACTTTCCTTATCCTTTCTACTGGAGCGTATATTAAATTACATGCATTTTGACATTAAACTTATAAATATATGTTCCTTTAAAAAATGAGATTTACTACCTAGCTACAAAATCTATTTTGCACATTTACCATGTTTAACCATAATTTTTGAGACTGTTATTTAAAATGCATACCCAAAGATTTTTCTCTTCTGTTCTTCAACTTTCCAAACCAGGATTCTGGGTTTCCGCCGAGCCCCCTTGGTGGTTGGCAGATTTGTTAATCTGCGAACGGAGATCAAGCCTGTTGCCACGGAGCAGCTGTTGAGCACCTTCCTGACTGTAGGTAAGAAGATTATAGAGGACATTTAGATAGGGAATAGTTAATAAGTTAAATGGGCTATCATTGAGCAAGCTGGTTCATAACTTTTAGGAATTGAAGAACTCAAGGAAATATAAAAGCAAATCAGATTACCTTTTCTCAGGTAACTCACAAAAATGGATCTAGAGGTAGATGGCGGGAAATCGCAAGTTTTTCCCAATGCTCACAGTGTTGTGTCTGTGAAGTAGAAAGGCCATTTACTGATAGCGAAAACAGGTAATAACTTATTTCCTTTTGCTTGGTCTTATATCTAACTCAAACTCATAATTAGGCCCAAATTGGTTATTGTTTGTATGTCATTGGCTTGGTTGTTTTTTCACATACATGTGCTTTCTTAGGAACTTTCTCCTGTCTCTTTAGAATTGAGGAAATCTTAAAGCAACTCTGTAGGAAGGTCAGAAGTACCCTTGTAGGGCTGTATTTGTGCCTGGAGGATCACCAGCACCTCCTACTGCTCTGCAAGAGGTAGCCTACAGCTCATCGCGCGCGGGACTGGCTATGGTTCCTCTAGCCTTATTCTGCGGTGAGGGATCTGAGAGAAAATTCTCACTCCTGTTTTCCTTGTGGGAATGATGAGAATGGGAAGAATTCAGAGGTGCTGTGGTCTCTGTTTCAGCCTCTTCATGGTGACTGTTTTTCAGTGACATGGTGCTCTGCATTATGGTGTGACCATTGAAACACACATTGCAAGATGAACTTCACCTTGCTTTTTGGTAGAGTGAATGTACTTACACTTAAAATAAGGTAAAACTGAATATTTAAAGGACTTATGACAGATTGATCGTTCAGAATTTAAACTTCTAAGGGTTGGGCTATGCTTTTCTTGCAGATAACCAAAAGCATACAGTATCAACTGATTTGTTTCAGATATTTTCTAATCACCTTTGGTTGTTCAATTTTATGCTCAGCAAACATGAATTCTTGGTAGGTGCTGGGATAGAGAGAGAAGGGGGACAGGAATAAGCCAAGGTCCCTGCTCTTCAGAGACTCAAGGTTAACTCTCTTACATAGTTTGAAATATGGGGAGAGGATTTGTGAAAAGGATTTGTGCAGGAGGGTTTTTTTGTTTTTATTTTTGGTGTTTTTTTTGGTTTGGGTTTTTTTTTTTTTTTTGAGACAGAGTCTCACTTTGTTGCCCAGGCTAGAGTGAGTGCCGTGCGTCAGCCCTGGCTCACAGCAACCTCCAACTCCTGGCTCAAGCGATCCTCCTGCCTCAGCTCCCGAGTAGCTGGGCTACAGGCATGCGTCACCATGCCGCTAATTTTTTATATATATTTTAGTTGGCCAATTAATTTCTTTCTATTTATAGTAGAGACAGGTCTCACTCTTGCTCAGGCTGGTTTCAAACTCCCGACCTCGAGCAATCCGCCCTCGGCCTCCCAGAATGCTAGGATTACAGGCGTGAGCCACCGCGCCCAGCCGGAAATAAGTTTCTTTATGGCTGTAGTTGATGGGGGCAAGAGCAGTAAACATTACTTGCCTTTTACATTTTTTTATTTTCTAAACTTTCTATTTTGAAATAATTTTAGATTTACATAAAAGTTGCAGAAATAGTCCAGAGTTCCCAAGATCCCTCACTTCTTAATACTTTTGAACCATCTGAGAATAGATTGCAGACATGAATGTCCCATTATTCCATTTAACCGCTTCGGTCCGGCGCTCACGGCCGCGACGCCTCGCCCACAGCCGCACTCACAGCCGCACGGCCGTCTGTGCCGCGCGTCCACGACGGACCCGCTTTGCTCTCGTGTGATGAGGAAAGCTTGAAAGCACTGAAAGCGTGTTTTACTTTACAGGCAGCCTTACTTGTCATGTAAATCAGAATAGGTAACATATGCATATATGTTTCATAGTTATTTTTTAAATGTTCATAATTTTATTTTGATAAATGAAAAATTAGAAAAGTCATATCACGGCTGTCGGCTACAGTCGACGCTTGGCTGTGTGCATTCATCTGTGGCTGTCGACTGTGGCCGCTACTCATACCAAAGTGGTTAATGCTTCCTTCAAACTTCAGTGAGCATTTATTTCTCAACTACTAGGACACTCTACTACACGACAAAATCAAGGGATTAACATTGACCCAGTGTCCCCATCTAACCCATAGACCCTATTTTGACCCTTATTTTGACCCTCTGACCCTTATCTCTGACCCTTTATCTCTTGTGTCAGCCCAGGATTCACTCTAGGATCAGATCACATGTTGTATTCCGTTGTTTGTTTTTTCTTTTTTGAGACAGAGTCTCACTTTGTTGCCCAGGCTAGAGTGAGTGCTGTGGCGTCAGCCTAGCTCACAGCAACCTCCAACTCCTGGGCTCAAGCGATCCTCCTGCCTCAGCCTCCCGAGTAGCTGGGGCTACAGGCATGTGTCACCATACCCTGCTAATTTTTTCTATATATTTTTAGTTGGACAATTAATTTCTTTCTATTTATAGTAGAGACGGGTCTCACTCTTGCTCAGGCTGGTTTCGAACTCCTGACCTCGAGCAATCCGCCCGCCTCGGCCTCCCAGAGTGCTAGGATTACAGGTGTGAGCCACCACGCCCGGCCTGGAGTTGTCATTTTTTTCCTTAAATATATTTGGCTCCTTTCTGTCCTTCAGGAAACAATACTTGTTTCTATGGGAAGTGTTACTACTGCCGAGAAACAGAGCCAGCTTGTGCTGATGGAGACACGATGGAGGGATCTGTCACGCTTTGGCTTCCAGATGTGTGGCCTCTGCAGAAGCACCGGCACCCATGGGGCAGGACTTACCGAGAAGGCAAACTGGCCAGGTACATGCCCCTGTGCTCCACTAGCTAGTTCCCCCTGTGCCTGGCCAGGTACATGCCCCTGTGCTCCACTAGCTAGTTCCCCCTGTGCCTGGCCAGGTACATGCCCCTGTGCTCCACTAGCTAGTTCCCCCTGTGCCTGGCCAGGTACATGCCCCTGTGCTCCACTACCTAGTTCCCCCTGTGCCTGGCCAGGTGCCAGCCCTATGTTGGAGCCAGTAGTTCTGTCTAGGAGTGAAAAGAACCATGGGGTCAGGGCAGACCTGCAGGTGGGAACTCTGTCTTCTCTTTGTTTTTAACAGTGCCAGGTACAATGTTGGCACTCAATAACCCTGGCGATGCTGCTTGCCTCCAGGTGGGAGTATGATGAGAGCTACTGTGACGCTGTGAAGAAAACATCCCCTTATGACTCCGGCCCGCGCCTCTTGGACATCATTGACACAGCCGTCTTTGACTACCTGATTGGCAATGCTGACCGCCATCACTATGAGAGCTTTCAAGATGATGAAGGCGCCAGCATGCTCATTCTTCTTGATAATGCCAAAAGGTAGGGCCAGCAGGACTGTCCTTGTCAATGAGCATACTAGCTCACTGTGTATAAAAGAAGGACATTTTCTTGGGTATCCTGGAAAACATCCAACACACAGTTGATACAAGGTGTTCTTTTTCCATTTGGGGCCTTTGCTGTTGACACCCATCCTTCCTTCCACCCTTGGGGATCTCAGGACTTTAAAAAATGGGAAAGTGGTTCTTTCAGGGAACTGAAGACTCTGTAAGCCTCTTCAGAGATAACTGTAAACCAAGGCCTTTAGTTTGTTACTACCTAAATTGTTCATTCTTAGCTAAGATGTTTAGAATCTTGAGAAATACACATTAAATAAATCATGGAGGGCCAGGTGCAATGGCTCGTTCCTGTAATCCTAACACACTGGGAGCCCAGATGGGAGGATTGCTTGAGCTCAGGAGTTCAAGACCAGCCTCATCAAGAGCAAGACCCCATTTCTACTAAAAAATAGAAAAATTGGCTGGGCATTGTGGTGCACACCTGTAGTACCAGCTACTCAGGAGGCTGAGGCAGTAGGATTGCTTGAACATAGGAGTTTGAGGTTGCTGTAAGCTATGATTACGCCACTGCACTCTACCCAGTGTGACAGAGTAAGACCGTCTCAAAAAAAAAAAAAAAAAAAAAAAATGGCAGCCTCATTAGCAAATGCTATAACAAACACTCTTTGCCAAGGAGCCGTGTCTATTTCCAGCAACCAGTGTTAAGATTAGTGACCTAGCACCTGAGCAATTCTGGGCTCCAAGGAAGCATTCTCTTTAGCTAACACTTATCAAATGTAACTAAACATGTGGCACTAAACTGGCCACCATAGAGAATGCAGAGTGCAAAATGGTAATAGGCTGTGTTCTCCAAATAGCTTAGGTGTCAGCCTAGCTCACAGCAACCTCGAATTCCATGGCTCTAGTGATCCTCCTGCCTCAACCTCCTGAGTAGCTGGGACTACAGGCATGTGCCAAGACACCCAGCTAATTTTTCTATTTTTAGTAGAAAGAGGGTTTAGCTATGTTGATCAGGCTGATCTGCAACTCCTGGCCTCAAGTGATCCTCCCACCTTGGCCTCCCAGAGTGGTGGGATTATAGACATGAGCCACTGCTCCTGGCCAAGGCTACCATCTTATATTGAACACTAGTTACCTCATGCCCTGTGAAAGATGGTGACAGCCACAGAACGTGAAAGGTCAGCAAATACTCCCTCTACGTCCAACCCATCACAGCAAAGCAGGTCATGGCCAATCTGCTATTAATATTATATATTCCTGAAAATCTTTATATATTATTGTAAAAATAATCATTTTTTAAAAAATGAGCAAGTGTACTATGATACACATGATATTAGATATATATCAAAGTAGTTGTTGTAGTCTGTTGGGCTATTATAACAAAATACCTTAGACTGGATAATTTATAAACAACAGAAATTTATTGCTCATAGTTGTAGAGGCTAGAAAGTCCAAGATCTAGGTGCCAGCAGATTCAGTGTCTGATGAGAGCTCATTCCTCATACATAGTGCCTTCTGTGTGTCCTCATATGGCAGAAGAGGCAAGCAAGCTTCCTCTGGCTTTTTTCATAAGGGCACTAATCCCATTCACGAGGGCTCTGCTCTCATGACTTATCTCCCAAAGGCCCCATCTCTTAATACTATTGCCCTGGGGATTAGGTTTCTGCATATGAATTTAGAGGGCTCACAAACATTTAGACCATAGCATTTGCCTTTGCTTCATATTACTGAAGGACCTATACTGTACTAACAGCTAACCAGACTGTCCAGCTATTAAGGTGAGCTTCTGGGAAAAGAGTAAAAGATTGAGGGTTTTTCTATAATCAGTTCTCCTTTTCTGACTCTGAATTACTGCTAAAATCATTTGTACATCTGCTTTGAATCAGTGTTTCTTCAGCCTCTGTGAGCAGTTTTTCCAGTTTGAATCTGTCCGTATACTTATTTGTAAGGGAATAGGATATTGGTAATTTTGGAGTAGAACAAGTATAACTTTTTTTTACAAGTAATGGCCATCTGCTTGTTTGTGGGAACCTAGTATGAATAGCCTTTATTTCTTTCCTCATGCCTTAAAATCTTCTCAGGCTAAGGGGTCTTCCTTTTGGTTGGTGAACTCCATACTGTGTTTGCTGTAGTTATGCTCTAGCACTTTGCAGTATCTTGGCCGGAAAAAGGGTCATTGTAAATGAGTATATTTGTTGTCAGATACTTCAATATAGGCTGTTAGGCATCCTATGTCTAATTGGTCATGCCTGCTTGTTTTCAATTTAAGTGATTTGAGCTGCTGGAGCATGAAATTATCTAGGATCACATTTGGGCTTCTTATAGAATTTGTTGATGCTTTGATGCTAAGAAAGGAATTGGTACTTCCACCTAATTCACTAAGTTTCAATTTATTTTCAGCTTTGGGAACCCTTCGCTGGAAGAAAGAAGCATTCTTGCCCCTCTCTATCAGTGTTGCATGTAAGTCATGCACAGCAAATATGTGTCCTGTACTGCCTTCCTTTCCAGGCTCACCTAACAGTGCGTCAGCTTTCTCGGCCTTAAAGCTTTCTGGTACCTGAAGAGTGCGTATCGTACTTTCCACCCCAGACCCCTGGAGATCCTGAGGTGGGGGATCAGGGGAAGGCAGAGGCAGGTAACCCAAAGCTCCGAATTCATTTCAAATTTTGTGTGAATAGAAGTTTGTTGTCTATTCAGTAATACATATCTATGCTTGGTTTAATATCAGAATATAATCATCCCCCTACACATATCCCAGCCCCTTGCCCCCAAAAAAAAAAATCCTCTAGTAAAATCTGTATCCCTAGTTGCTGCACCTGGTTCAGATTGTGGTTTCAAGTCCTCTCACTCACTCACCCACCACACACCACCTGGGATTTGCAAATCTCACTTTGAAATTCTCTGGATCAAAAGTAACTTTTTCTGTAAGTATTTAATAATTGATTTTTTTTTTTAAAACTCTACATTGGAGAATAAAGAAATTGAAAAAGTAGTCAAGAAAATGAGACAAAGACTGGGCTCCAAAAAGCTCCTTTTCTGATTACCATTCCTGATATAATTTTATTTTTTTGAGACAAGAGTCTCACTCTGTTACCTGGGCTAGAGTGCTATGGCGTCAGCCTAGCTCACAGCAACCTCAAACTCCTAGGCTCAAGTGATCCTCCTGCCTCAGCCTCCTGAGTAGCTGGAACTACAGGCATGTATCACCATGCCCGGCTAATTTTTTCTATATATTTTTAGTTGGACAATTAATTTCTTTCTATTTTTAGTAGAGACGGGGTCTCGTTCTTGCTCTGGCTGGTTTTGAACTCTTGACCTTGAGTGATCCTCCTGCCTTGGGCTCCCAGAGTGCTAGGATTACAGGTGTGAGCCACCACACCCGGCCTCCTGGTATAATTTTAAAGCATGCACATCAAGAATCAGCTGGGACCCACCTTGCATGGCTACACGGAAGAGCAAGTCCAGGAGCATCACTTATTACTAGTCAACTCCCAGAAACAGTCACATCACATAAGACTGTCCTTCCTAGCAACTGGTCTGTTTTTCTTTTCTTTTCTTTCTTTTTTTAATAGCAACAAAATTCTGCAGAAAGTAACAGTTTGCCCAGGCAACTCTTAATTGTCTTCATTAATGTTGGGAAGCAGCAATACATACAAGCAAAATATGTGCATCTGTCTTTGAAGGAGATATTTTTGGGGTAATAATTTTATCAGTCTGGTCTAGTCAGGATATAGGAAAGATATTATGTGTTAAACAGGGATATTTAATATAAAGAATTACTAAATTCTAATACCAGAGTGACTATTAAAAACCGAGGACTGAGGCAGCGTACCCAAGAAGGACATACTTGGAAAGGGGTCCTCTCCCCAAGGCTGAAGTTGGGCCTCGGTAGAGAAGGTGTAGTTCACCCATGGGATAGCAGAGAAGCGTGCTGGTTTGCAGGTGCTGAGCAAGCTGGAGCAACCCTCCAGAGTGCAGGTGGGGTACAGCAGTATGCAGCTAGTGTCACGGTGTAGAGGGAGAGATGGAACCACACTCTCTACCAAGAAAGCTTAAGAGGAGAGATGCTTAACACCTTTTGTACCACATAGAAATCTTTAAGACATATGCCAGGGACCTCATGTTTTTAGGCAAACTGCAGGTTATTTAAATCATCATAACTACAGATCATAATACACTTTTGGTGTTGTTTTTCAATAATTATAATAGTTTTATTTACAAAAACAATTAAACAACTAATTAAACAATTAAAGTTCCTAGTACTTTTTTAACGTATGGTACCGTGTAAAACATTTTCCTCTACGAAGAGGGACCAAACAAAATTTACATAAGTATCTAGATTCGCTCCTTTTTCCATGGGTGGCACAAACTGCACAATTTCCACCAATGAGATTGCATCATTCGATGGGGACAAGACAGTGTATTGACATCTAAGGTCCATAACAAATGGCCCGTGAAAAACGAGAAAACTTGTGAGTACTCCTTAACAGATGGCATGCGAAACGTGAAAACTCATGAGCAGGATGAAAGGTGTTAAAAGAATTTTGTCCATTATAGCAGAGCATATATTGAAGAGTGAATTTGGAGCTGAGAGACAGTAAGTGATAACTTAGTCACACAGTGGAAGCTCTGATGCTCTGGGCATTTGTAGTATATTTCAGAATTTTAAAAAACTGCATCTGTGCTTGTTCATTCCTTCTATGCTTTATGCAAAGATTGATCTTCCTTACCTTTTAAATAGTTGCAGACATTTCTTACAGTCAGACATTTCTGCATACCTAGTAATTTCCACTTTACCCACAGAGAGATAAGAACTTTTCTTCTAAGATAAACAAAAGATCCTCTTTAGTTGGTGTCTTTGTCCATTCTGCAGTGCTATAACTTAAATACCATAGACCGGGAAATTTATAATAATCTGAACTTAATTGGCTCACAGTTCTGGAGCCTGGGAAGTCCAATATTGAGGTGCCAACATCTGGCAAGGGCATTCTCGCAGAGCCCTTGGTTGACATGGCCCAATTACAGGAACATAAAATAACGACACAGACACACATGAACATGACAATGACTCGAGTGACCGATGCACCGGTCGCTTTATTATTATACCCCTCACGTTCCTTGCACGTGAGCATTTGAGCGTAGCAGCGGTGTCAGTCGATTTTGGAGTTGTTTTAAAAGAGAACAATTTTTTATGGTCTCAGACCTCAAAACTTGAGGCGCTAGCACCGGACATAACTCAAAAACCAAGGCTGAGGTAAGCAACGTTGAACAATGCAGCCATTAGAAGAACTTTTGTGCTCTTTTTTAGCCAGTGGCTCTCTCCCAGCCAGCAGCCGACCTCCACGGTTGTGTCTGTCTTAGGTCGCCCCCCCCCCATGGGGAGTCTTACCCGTCATTGACTACCAACCATCATATGGGGCCGGACCTTGGGAATGTTTTTCTCATCTTTATGGCTTTTAGACTCCCACCACGGGGGCCCTCCGTGTGGGAGCTGGGCAACATTTGCTTATGTGCAGAAACTCAGGCCTCTTGTTATGTCCCAAGGCAGTAACCGTGTCTGGAGAAAATGCCGGCTACAAGAAAATGCTGGCTACCGCTGTGTCATGCAGCACACGTACGTTACAGGCTGTAGTGAATGATTAGTATAAAGCAAAACACCAAAATCAGCCCCCAACACCTCATGGCCTAATGGCCTTTTAAAGGTCCCACTTCTTAATGCTTAATACTTAACTATTTCCCAATTGTTGGACATTCAGATTGCCTCATGTGTTTCCTGTTATAAATAGCACTGCACTGAACATGTGTAAATCTTTGTATATATCTCTGATTAATTGCCCAGGAAAATATATCAAAATGTGACAATGTGGCACACTTGTAATTCTAAAAGAAATGGTTTTTTTAGTTAAAATATTTTACTTTTTTTTTTTTTTTTTACTTTTGTCTGCCAACTAGGCTTTAAACTCCATTTGATAGTGAGAGGTTTTATGTAACTTGTCCTAAAACTTTTTCTTCCAGCATTCGAGTTTCCACCTGGAACAGACTGAACTACCTAAAGAATGGTGTGCTAAAGTCTGCCTTAAGATCCGCCATGGCCCGAGACCCCATCTCCCCCGTGCTTTCTGAGCCTCACCTGGCTGCCGTGGATCAGCGGCTCCTGAGTGTCCTGGCCACCGTGAAGCAGTGCACTGACCAGTTTGGGATGGACACAGTCCTGGTGGAAGATAGGATGCCTCTCTCTCACTTGTAATTCTCAACACAAAATAAGTGAAACTTCTTTTTACAAAGATAGAGAAACAGCACAATCAATTCCAAATGATATGAAATGGATCGGAAATGGCCAGCAGCAAGTTCTGGTGATAGGGAACAGGATGGCCTTGGATGTCTTTGGTGTTTTCTGTAGTAGAAGCTAAAGCAAAGACCACAAGTTTCAGAGCATGGAGATGTTCCTGCTGAGTCACCTGACCTCCTTGGCAGTTGCCCATCCTAGCAGTGGGTATCATAGTCAGTTGGTCTTAATTCGCATGCCAGAGGACAAACAGATGTGACATTTGGACAGATGCATGCTGGGAGTGGTTCTGGAGTGTGTGTTTTCAGCTGAACCTTGCAGTCCTTTCTCCACACCTATGTATTTTGTGGAAACACTTTGCAATCTCTTGTGTCTTCTTTTTTTTTTTTTTAACCAGGATTAGTCAAATCAGAAAGTTAATACAACCTTGCGTTCCATCAAGCCAAAATAGCACTCTGCTAGAGGGGATATGGTTCCAAGATAGAATTAGAGAGAAGGGCAAGAGTAGGAAGAAGTTCAGGCTTTTAAGCCATTGGGTAGTACTGTTTTGATGATCTTAGGGGAGGGAAGAAGAGAGAGAGACCCAGGTGATAGAACCAGAATCAGGGGGATGGTTGAATTAGTGAAAAATAGGTTCCCCTATATTTAGGATCTTAAGGTATGCAAAAAGCAAACATGACTTTGTACCTAAGTAAAATCTGCATTCTCACAGTTGTATCCAAATTAACCAAAAAATTGTCTCTGTTTCTAGAGAAAGTACATTTATAACCCAAACACGATTTTCTTATGAGGACTAATATTTTTTTCTTTTTGCTTAAAGCAGGCAAATCCTTTCTAAATTAACAAAGCAAACTGAAATAATACCTCAAATAACAATCAGGTACCTGTGATCTCTGCCATCCTCATTTCTGTCTTGAAGTGAATTTCCACCTATGCCTGTAAGGGACTTGGTCATTGGAGCTGCTGTTCTCAAGATGGTGTTGGCTGCCCTGTTTGTGCCCTTCTTGTGAGGAAAGGCAGCTCACTCCCACAGACGAGAGTGTGCACGCTGCTGGTGGCTGGACGTGTCTTGCGATTTAGGCCATGCAGAAGACTGGGAACAAAAATTTTAAGCCTTCTGAGCCTGGAGACTGAGGAGGTTATAGGAAGAAGAGCCTTACGATTTTGATTTATGTCAAATCTTAATTTCATTAGTGTTGTTTGCAGCCTGGAACCCATGATGTAGTATCATGCTTCCGTCTGCTCTTAGCACACTCAAATTTCAGGTCGCTAAAACACAGTTTTAGTTCTGTGTTTTGGCAAAGTTGCAATAAGATACAGGGCCAGAGAAGGACAGGCCTGGTTTGCCCGCTCTCTGTGATCGACTGCATCATGTCGAGGTGCTGTTCCAGGTTTGCACTTATGTCAAGCGGAGACTAATATCTAAACAATGTGGTTGAATAAATTTAATGCCAGCCATTGGAGACTAGTTTTAGGCAATCACTCTTTCAAAAACAGCTTTAGAATTTATGTCCCAATTTTCTCACATTGAAAGATAACTGAATAACCCATAACTACTATAAAATAGCATGAATTAGAGAACGTAATTTTCTATGTACATTTTAAGATGGACACAACAGTGGGCTAAGTTTTAAAAAGGGTATTGAATTTAAGAAGACTGATATTAAACACAAAACAATGAATTAGGGTTAACAAAAGGAGGTATTGATTTCAACTTTTTTTTTTTTTACACCTGAAGATCATTGAGTGAGATTTCAACTTTAAGGCTACTTTAAGGCTGTTATGTGTCCAAGGAAATTCATAATTAGCCAACCCGTTTGTGCCTTTCTTGTGAGAAAAGGCAGCTCCTACAGATGAGAGTGTGCACCCTACAGGTGGCAGGATTAATTGCTATCCTGTGATTTGGGCCATGTGGATGACCTGGAAACAAAGATTTTAAGCCTCGTGAGCCTTGAAATTAAGGAGGTTACCAGGAAGAGCCTTAAGATTTTGATTAGCACTTACCCACAAGCTTCTGAGAGCAGATGGCAGGAGATAGTAGGAAGGATATCAGTTCTGCATTCCTTAGTGAATATTACTTGAGCTAAATTATGGATTTGTGTTCTTTCAAACACATGATGCCTTTAATATGCCACACTGAAATGAACAAGAACTGTTCTCAAACTGGGAACTTCATAATGTTGAAGGCAGAAGATTCTGCTAAGGAAAAAAGCAGGAAGGAAAGCTGCTTTGAATATTGTCTCATCCTTTCTTCAAAGCATTTGCAGAAAATGTATCATCTTATTCTCTTCCCTACTGTTTTCAAACTCATGATCTTAAGATATATTTTGGTTCATAGCAGTTAAAGTTAGAATTAAGCTAACAGAGTGGCACAGTGTGGCACTGAGAATATAAGGAAAAGTGTGCCTAGGCAAATCTTGGAGAAAACCAACCATACGCTTACAGCCCCAAAATTCAGAAACACTAAATTCTGTTTAAAAAAAGAGGTGGATATGTTTTTTAAAAAGTTTTGTAACACTGTTCTCTTTAGAGTTTATTAGAATCTAAGGCTGTTAAAGTCATTACAAGGTTTTTGGTAGCTCTAAGTTGGGTGTGCCAACCAAACATCCAAAGGTATTTGTGGTTACATTTTTATATTATAAAAGTAGGAAAATCAGAACTGATTGCCGTTTCCTGCCCTCCTCTCACTTCTAAAAATGTTTATTCCAAAGTTTGCAGAAATTTCTACCACTGTTCTGTAATATGAGGCTGTACTGTGGGTTTGGGAAGGGGTACAAATAATTTTCTGTGCAAAACAAATTAATATCTGATTTGCTCAGAGTATTGTTCAATAATGTATTACTAAGACATTTCTCCCTGTTTACACTCAGGGTTAATATATCAAATGAAATTTAAGAAGGAAATGGAAGAATTCAGGTCCATCTATTGCATATTATTTTGGGAAAGATGAATCCTTCACATGGCAATTTCATTGTCACCTGAAGTTAGCATTGTCTTCCAAAGGAATTCATCTTTTCCTTTCTTAAAAAAAAAATGCCTCAGCTAGCCCTTCCCATCCACCATATCCCTTCAGCCTGCCTTCTTAGTCATCCGTGTGTTCTTTCTGGAGTGACTGACCACACATGGATGGTAAGCAGCACGTATCCGTGAGCTGTCTTATGAGTCATCCTGTGAGCTGAGCTTCAGGAAACATGAGTAAAGGTATATGTCTGTATATAGCTGGATATGTATTCTAGCCAGAAAAATATATTTATTTTGACACAGGGGAATGCTGACTTACGTTGCTGAAGGATTTAAAGCTAGTAAAAGGTTCTCAGTCTCTAAGAGTGGACCCTAAGTGACATAAAGACCATTCATTCAGCAAACACCTACTGAGCAACTATGGTGCACCAGCGCAGGCTAGGCATTCCCGTGAACCTGACTTCATGAATTTTATTTCACAGGGGAAGGCCAGTTTCACAGGTTTTTAGGAACTGAGGTGTTCCTCACAAACACAAAATGTTGGGGGAACTGGGAATAACTTACTGGGAAACTAATTTATTTGTTTAAACAGGAGGTGTAGGAACCCTCTGCTTTGGTCTGCCAAGTATTTTGTCTCAGAACTTGCACAAATAAAGGTTGTACTTGGTATGACACCCAACAAGACAGATATGCATCGAAATTTCTAATGTGTTCTATGGGTTTCAATTCTGAAAAAGTAAAATAAAGATTTTAATAAACATTGCTGTATCTTTTCCTTTTAATCTTTTTTACCCCTTTCAGGATATTTCCAGTGTTACCTGTACCAATTTCCTACCTGTTTTTAACTTTTGCAATGGAAATCCAGCGTCATAAGCCTCAATCAGACAACTGAGCAATGTTCTTGAGATTTTTGTTTTATTTACGGTGTATATGTGCTAGCTTTTGTCTTTTGTGCTTGCACACATGTGGGAGGCTGGGTGCTGGTCCGTGCGTCCTGCTGGCTCACACGTACAGACCCTGTCCTGGCCACATCGCGGGCTTCCTTTGCTTCTCCAGCACACAAAGTGACTGTATTTGAGCTCGAAAAAGGCAGCTCGGAGTGGCGAGGGTGGGAAGGGTAGTCAGTTACTGGGTTGTTTTGCCCAGTGTGTTTGCCTATAAAACTGATTTTTAGCAGCCCTCATTTTGTAAAATAGACAAGAATGGCCGTCATCACTAGTTTTCCATGGATGGGGTTTTATAAAGTAAGTCCAGCGTAAATCCCAGGGAAGAATGGTGTTAAATCACAATTTGTGAGATGTTTGCTTTTTCCTCAGTAGATGTTGGGCATTGTGCTGCAGGCTATGGATGCCACTGAGATGATAGTGACAGTCCCTTCCCTCCCTAGAGTCTATAGTCTACTGGCATACAGAACTGCTTGTGAGGCCCATTCCTGCCTCAGGAATGAGGTACAATAATGACATCACTAAGTGGAAATAAGGAGCAGGGAAGGATCATTGGGAGGGAGGGTAGACGGGACCCACATTGAAGGAGAGATTGATCCAGGCTTGACGAGCGGTGTGTATAGAACCCCTGACTCTGGCAATCCAGAGCTGTGTGCTTAGGAGGTGCAGCGCCTCCCGGGCCTACACGCTACTTCAGTACCTGGTCACCAGAACTGTCCCTTCAGGGGCTTCCTGTGGCCTTCATCAGGAAACTTTGGTGTCCCCTGTCTCTTGAGAGGACACTCTCAGTCCACTGTGATGCTTCACGTGCTCTCTGGCACGTGTCTAGCTGCTGTTAAAGGGAGCCGCTGCACATAGATGAGCTGTGAAACATTTTGTTTACAGAGCTTTTGTTTTTACATGCCAGGTTTATTTATTTACTGAAACGTTTTCGAGGCAGAGGGTTCTGATTGCCTTCAGCAGCATTGGGAAGGTGTCTCCTGTAAAGCTAGGTCCCATTCAGATGACCTCAATAAAGGTGTAATGTGCCCATTTCCCTCACGAAGACCTTAAAGTGCAGGCTTTGACTCAGGTCTGGGGTCTGATATTCTGCACTTCTTTTTCTTTTCCTTTTCTTTCTTTCTTTTTTTTTTTTTTGAGACAGAGTTTCATTCTGTTGCCCAGGCTAGAGTGCTGTGGTGTCAGCCTAGCTCACAGCAACCTCAAACTCCTGGGCTCAAGCGATCCTGCCTCAGCCTCCCGAGTAGCTGGGACTACAGGCATGCGCCACCATGCCCGGCTAATTTTTTCTATATATATATATATATATTTTTTTTTTTTTTAGTTGTCCAGATAATTTCTATTTTTAGTAGAGACAGGGGTCTCGCTCTTGCTCAGACTGGTCTCAAACTCCTAACCTTGAGCCATCCTCCCGCTTTGGCCTCTCAGATATATTCTGCATTTCTAACAAGCTCCTGAGTGTTGCCAGTGCCAGAGTCCTTGGACCACACTTGAGTAACAGAATGATAATGCTTGCTAAGGAATCATAGCTGCCTGTAGTTTTCCAAACAGCCTCTAGATGTCCCCATTATCCATGAGATCTTGCTCCTAGACCTTTGCAGCTAGCAGCCTCCAAGCCCTGAAACGGAAACGTCAGCAATTTATTGAAATACTCAAAAGACTTGTCCAGAAACTGGTGTTTGGGTTCATCGCTTCTATGTGGGACTGGCTCTTTGGTGGAAAAATGTTTACCTCTATTTTTTTAAGGAAAAACATGTTCTGAAATCAAGTTGCTTGTCTAAGAACTTCCCAGCTACCTACTTTATTTACCATGAAATGCTAAATCCAAATTAGAACATCTCGGAAATTAGCAATTAGTCCTACATGAAAGTTACAAGTAGACTGATAATTCTTTCCACCAAGTCTTAAAACTTGGATTGTTTTAATAAACTGTTGTTACTATTAGTAATTTTATCACCATAAATTCACCTATAAACTTCACCGGCATTAACTAAAGCATCCAAGCCTTCTGTGCAGACACACACAGCCGCCTCCAGGGCTGGTCACACACAAAAATAAAAGCGAACCGGGGTGGGGAGGGCGAGTGTGGTAGCTCACCCCTGTGATCCTAGCACTTTGGGAGGCTGGTGAGGAAGAATTGCTTGAGTCCAGGAGTTCAAGTTCAGCGAGAGCAAGACCCTGTCTCTACAAAAATAGAAAATTAGCTGGTCATGGTGGCCCGTAGTCCCAGCTACTCAGAGGCTAGGGCAGGAGGATCTCGAGCCCAGGAGTTTGAGGTTGTAGTGAGCTAGGATGATGCCACTGCACTCTAGCCAGGATGACAGAGCAAGGCTCCATCTTGAAAATATAATAATAATAAAAAATTAAAGTGAACGCGTATTGAGTGTTTGTGATGCACTCACTGAATTATGTAATCTTCACAGCATCCCCATGAGGTGGACTATTTTATTATTCCTACTTTATAGGTAGGGAAACAAGCATAGGTCAGCTAAGTAACACCCGTGGTTACAGATAGAAAATGGCAGGGCCCATTCAGCTAGTTGTACTAGACTGCCATTCATACTCAAACAACAATTATGAGTGAGTTTTCAGTTTTCAAATAAGCACAATGGTCCAGTCATTGTCTACTATCCTCTGAAGGGTCACACGAGCTTGGCTGCACATAATGCTGTACTGGTGCCATGGCCGCTGCTCTAGGAAAAGTTTGGGTTTGATTTTATATCACCCTGAGTGGTTAAGGCACAATATACAAACATCACATTACTTTTCAACTTAACTCTCATGGTGTCTTAAGAAAGGTGCTTATCTGGTTTCTATAGCTGTTTGAGTGAAAGGCATGGCAGATTCGGTGAGCTGCTGAAGATTGTGAACAAAAATAAACTTTTAAGGCTCACTCCCCCCACTGGCTGACTGAATGGACCCCCGCGTGGCCAAAGGAATATCCTAAAACTAAATTGTCTGCCAGGAGGAGGGAGGTCAGACATCCTCATCATGCCCTCCTCCCTTCTTGGAGACATCCTTTGTAACCCATTAACAGGCCTAAGGGTATACAAGACAAGCCTGCAGGCCCTCAATTTACACAACAAATCTATGTCCTGTGGCCCATCTCTGATAATGATACAGAAAATGTCGGGATGCAGCCGCTTGCACCTCCCCACTGATCTGCATCTCCGAGGGCCAGCGCTGCATGTGGCCAGTTGGAGGGCACGCTGCTGGGGCCAGACCCCACGTGCTGGAATGCCCCCAGGCCTGAGTGCCACTGCCTGTTTCCATCCACGCTGCTTGTGTGAGCCTGATTGGGTAATTTTTGAATCCCACTGTTTTTGATTGGATGTTAAAGCTTGTTGTTGATTGGATGTTAAAGCTTGTAGTTGATTGGATGCTTTTGAGCCCTACCAAGGGTATAAAAGCAGGAGGAGAACAAGGCTGAGGGGGCAGGAGGGTCAGAAGATCGGAAGACATGAAGAGAGCTGTAATACTAGGTGTGCTGAGCCTGCTGTAGAAGAATAAAGGCTGTTCTCCAACTCATGTGCCGCTCAGTTCTTTCCCTGGTCAAACAAATAAGAGCTGTGACAAGAGCTGTAACACTAGCTGTACACACTGCTGCAACAATAACAGCTCCTTATGTTAAAACATTCCAAACCTTTAGACAAAGCTTCATGTCTTTAACCAATTACAAGCCAAACAATCTTTAAACCCACCTATAACCTGTAAGTCCCCCCCACTTCGAGATGGCTCACATTTTCGGGCCAAGCCAATGTACGCCTCTCACCTATTGATTGATGACTTTACCTGTAACCCCCGTCTCCCTGAAATGTATAAAAACCAACTGTAACCCAGCCACAGTGAGTCCACTTGCTCAAGGATTCCTAGGTGCGTCTCAGGGTCATGGTCCTCAAATTTGGCTCAGAGTAAATCTCTTTAACCACTTCGTGTGTGGCTGCCTGCCGTGGCCAACGCTTGGCCGTGCGCATGCATGTGTGGCTGTGGGGTATTGCCGACGCTTGGCTGTCCGCGTTCATCTGTGGCTGTCGGCTATGGCCGACGCTCGTACAGAAGTGGTTAAAATTATTTTAGAGTTCACCTTTTTTTCCCTGTTAACAAGATGGAGCAGACCTGGCATTGAGTGTGACCTAAGAGACTGGGATGAACACATAAGTCAATTTGCCTATGACATTTCTGAGACTTGGTGCTAGGATTCTCCTCACTGTCTGGATAGTGTAGGGGTGAGGGAACTTGCCCTTTCCTCTGAAGTCCGCTGAAAGATCAACTCACAATTAAGGCAGATTAATGAGAAGGCTTTATTTACCATGAGCATGGGGAGAAAGAATCACAGAGTGATTACTCAGTATCCCAGTGCAGTTCAGATACTTTTATACATGCCTTTTAGAGTAGAGGGAGAAAAATGAGTATAGGTAATTTTGTTTAGGGGCATAAAGGGTTGCTAGGGAGAATGAATGGATGGGGGAAACAGCCTGACCTGTAAATTAACCTGAGAGACAGGTATTATGTTTTAAATGATTTGGGCCTGGTCTAGGTGCCTTCTGCAATACACTGAAATAACAGGGCGAGGAAGGTAAGTCAATCCCGTTTATGCTGATAGAGGGCAAGTCCCCCGCCCCCCAAAGCTTTGCTGATCTCTAGGGGCCTGCAATTCAAAATACTCTTTATACCAAGCAGTCATATTTTGGGGTGGAATTCCTGAGCTCCTTCAAAAGCCCAGCCTCAAAGCCACCAAACAGGACATTAGTGAAGTCCTCTGGCTCTCTAGACAGCAGTTTCCTCCTAAGACAAGATGGCTCTTTGACCATTGGCTTCAGTTGCTCAGATTTGGAAACTTGCATTAAGCTCTTCTGAAATTTAACAGCCTTGTCCATGCTCTGTGTTACAGAGAAGGGAGCCAGAGAGGCCCCCAAGTCTTGCCAGTGCCATCTGACGGGCTGCTTACGGTCACAAGCACTTGGAAGTTGCAAACCTAACCAAGAAAGTCACACAGTACTTAGCCTAACTTTTTTTTATGAGCTATAATTACACTGACGTGAGACCTTATGACTGGGGGATTCCAAATTCCAAATACTCCAGACTCGAGCCGCGGCTTCCTCTTGCTTTTGGCTGACTCGCAGCTGTGGAGCGCGCCGGTCACCGGCAGCAGCTTCACTTCCCCGCAGAGGAGCTGGCGCCGGCCACACGGGCGCCCTCCGGCGGGCTGCGGCCAACCCGCACACGGGGGCAGGGCGCACGCGGGCAGGGCTGGGGCCGACCCGCACACGGGGCCAGGGCGCACGCGGGCAGGGCTGGGGCCGACCCGCACAGGGGGCCAGGGCGCACGCGGGCAGGGCTGGGGCCGAACCGCACACGGGGCCAGGGCGCACGCGGGCAGGGCTGGGGCCGACCCGCACACGGGGGCAGGGCGCACGCGGCGTCCTTACTTGGCAGCCTCAGAGGGGCCGGCAGAGCTGCCAGAAAGTGACAACAGAGTAACCTGCAGTGGCCATCTCCAGACCTGGCTTCACCTTCGAAACCACAGTCACGCCCCAGACCCAGAACAGACAGCTGCCTGGCCCGCCGTGCGGCCCGCCCGAGCCGCCTCCGGGCTGCGCGGACTCCGGGCGGAGGCGCCCGTCACGTGACGGCGGCCGTGTCCTAGCCGCCCGGACTCCGGACGGAGGCGCCTCGTCACGTGACGGCGGCCATGCTGTCCGGGCCGCAGGGACTCCGGGCGGAGGCGCCCGTCACGTGACGGCGCCGTGTGCTAGTCGCCCGGACTCCGGATGGAGGCGCCTCGTCACGTGACGGCGGCCATGCTGTCCGGGCCGCAGGGACTCCGGGCGGAGGCGCCCGTCACGTGACGGCGGCCGTGTGCTAGTCGCCCGGACTCCGGACGGAGGCGCCTCGTCACGTGACGGCGGCCATGCTGTCCGGGCCGCAGGGACTCCAGGCGGAGGCGCCACGTCACGTGGCGGCGGCCATGTTGCCCGGGCCGCGGCGCCCGAGTGGGTTCGGCCTGCTCCTCCTGGTGCTGCTGCTGCTGCCGCCGCCGCTCCCGGCCGCGCCTGGCACCGACGAGCCGCGCTCGGCCTGGGCCTGGCCTGGCTTCCCGCGCCTGCGGGAGCGGATGCGGGCGGTCGGGGACCTCTCCAAGCGGTACTGGGCGCTCCTCAGGTGCCAGGTGTGGCCGGACCACTGCGAGGATGACGGGGATGCAGCCGCGGGGCCCCCGGGTAAGACCTCGTCCCCGCCGGCCACCGCCTGGCCCTCCGGCGGTGCGGAAGCCAGCGGGCGGCGCGTCAGGTCTGCGCCCCGGCCCGGCCTTGGCAGCGGGCATGGGCGGCCTGGCGGGTCGGGAATGGGCCAGCTGCGCCCCCCCCCCCGCCGCCTCGCAGACACTGTGCTGCCTCCCAGCCCACCTGATGTTACTCTAAGGTGCTGCTCTTTGCCACCTTCTGGATGTCTTTAAGAAAATTCCGTTGTGCACACACCTGGTGACTGTCCCCCGCCCTCAAGTACCTTCTCTGCTGCTTACCTAGGCGTGCTTTACGACATGCTGCGGGCAGAGCGTGGGCTGGGAGCTGGGACTTGAGTTCTGGTTCTAGCTCTGTCCCTGACAAATTGTGCTGCACAGTTGTAACGGCACTGTTGTGGAGCAGATGGTCTGGTCTCTGTCTTACAGCCTCTCCTTTTCCAGGCTGGAGCCTTCCCCTGTTGGGCCAGCAGTACCTGGATGTGCTGACCACATGGTACTGCAGCTTTCAGGACTGCTGCGACAGCGGGGATTGCAGGATCTCCAACAACTTCACAGGTTGGACTCCACGTGGTCTAAAGGAGCTAGTGATCTGTGGGGACAGGAGGCTATTGGGGGAAAAAGATAGACTGCAGGGGACCTTTCATCATCTTGCCCAACCTGGTACCAAGCCGGAACTGCCACAAAAAGATTGAAGTCTGTTTTGCAATTATTTGAAGACCTTCTTTGGGCAAGACTTGGAACTTTTAGGTTTTCCAGAAATATAACACCCTCTAACAAAGGGAACGATGTGACACCAACATTAAATTAATGGTGCCATTGGTTTTGTGTTCTCCCCCCTAGGAACAGAAGCCAAAGCACCCCATCCTGGTGTTTGAAGGAGCACCAAAATATTTGAACCAGGCACCAGAAGCCGCTTTAGCCTCTCATTGAATGGCTCAGGCAGACTGAACTTGTTTCATGCATCTTGGGGATCCATGAGAATGTCATGACCGTGTTACACCCAGCTAAGAGATGTAGGACGGGCTTCGAAATGTCACTGTCTGTCCCTCATCTACACTGAGGTTTTCTTGCCACTTCCCCCCTCACCATGTCCTCCTGCCATCCCTGGGCGTGTGTCCAAGGAGGAAAGAATAGCTGAGATCTGTTGAGTCCCTGCCATATACTTAGGCACTGTGCTAGGAGTTTTTTTTTGGCTTAACTCCTAATCCAACACCTACAACCCTTTAGGAGTCTCGGGCCCATAGCACCTTTCTTTCTAAACAGAAACAGCAATCTCTCAGAAGGTAGTTGGAAGCATCCAGGGAGAGAACTGATCAGATATTATAGGTTGTCATTAAAAATATCCTTTTCTAAGGTTTAGCCAACAACCATGTCTGATGCAGCATGGACTTCCCAGTTGGTCTGGGGCCAGTGGGGCTGCCTCCGTGGCTCCATTCCCTGAGAGAAGTCAGACTGGTCCTGATTATAAACTAACTCGTATTAACCGCTGGTGGATTGAACACCCCGAGCTCATTTGCCGGTGACTTCTCCCGTGGCATGTCTGTTCAGGCGGTTCTGCGTATGCAGTTGATTTGCGTGTTGCTTCTCAGAGGGTGATCTTTGGTCCCAAGTACTGAATCTGTTCTGATAAAGAACCACACACCCCCATCCCCAATCTCCAAATCCTGCAGCTTCATAGCTGATGGGAAATAAGGCCTAGCAGGGGGGTTTGCACAAGTAGCTGCTCTCAAGTGTTTGCGGAATGGAATTAGAAAGAACGAACTGAGGCTTCTCTATGAAGCTCTTAGAGAGTCCTGAGACCAGGGGTGAGAGTGACCTAGAGCGTGGGGAGAGGCGCTCCTCCTCTGTGCCGTCTGTTCTGGGATGTCTTCAGGGTCTTTGGAAAGGGTGATTCCAGTTCTCTGAGTTCAATCTTGTTTTCTCAAACTCTTCAGAAAATAGCCCTTGAATCCCTTCTGCTACAAGTTCTGACCTCTGGCTTCATGTTCTAAGGTCAAACAGGATGAATAATTGATCCCACCTCCAAGATACGCAGAGTTTTGGTTTCTGGGCTGTTGGCAGGGAACGTATGTGTGAGTCACAGTCTCGCTGTGACTTCCTCTTCCCTGCCCCTAGGCTTGGAGTCAGACCTGAATGTGCGACTGCATGGCCAGCATTTGGTCCAGAAGCTGGTCCTAAGAACAGTGAAGGACTACTTAGAGACGCCCTGGCCAGACAAGGCCCTGGCTCTGTCGTTCCATGGCTGGTCTGGGACAGGCAAGAACTTCGTGGCACGGATGCTGGCGGAGAACCTGTATCGGGATGGGCTGAAGAGCGATTGTGTTGAGATGTTCATCGCCACAGTCCACTTTGCTCACTCCCAGCATGTGGACCTGTACAAGGTGAGGCCAGGCAGTTCCGGCGGCTCTCCCCGCCAGGTCTGGGAGGGCCCTGTGCTGGGGGTGCAGGTAGGCAGCTGCGGCAACAGACACCATCACAGACGAGACACCCACTGCATGCACCCTCACAGAGGAGGCCTTGAGCATGCAGAGGAAGGACTGATGTTCCAGACACCAGGCCCGCTCTGCCCTCAACAGCCACACACCAGAGGCCAGATGCTGGGCTCCAGCACAGCAGATTTTCCTGATAGAGAAATAATGAAACATCGCAGGAAATGTGGAACAGAAAAAAGCAAAAACTTTATTATAATCTCCCCACACAGACATAATCTTGTTAGCTAATAACTGCAAGGTCCAGAGCCCAGAGAGACACACGAAGCCTCATGTGTAGCAAAATGCAATTTATTTTGAGCATCTGGGTGCAGATGGGTGGAGGCAGAACATCCATGAGAGAAAAGGAGAGAGCCTTGGGTTTTATAGAGGGGTTCCCCAGGGGGAGTAAGTAAGTGGGCCAGAACTGCCGCTTGTGGTTAATTTTTTCAAACAACCAGCTCCTAGGACGCCTGCCCCCTTTAGCTCCAGCGTCCCCCCCATCAGGAGAGCAGGCAGGATAGACTTGTCCCTATGGGGGGGGGGGTGCTGGCTGCTGCTACCTGTTAGATTTACAACATCTGGGGACTCTCCAGACTCCTGCTGCTGCTGTTTTACAAGCCTAGGTTTCACATTAACTGTATTTTGTCCTGTATTTACTTTTCAGGTTCCCACCTGGAACAAATCTAATAGTAACAGCGTTTTTGGTGTATTTCCTTTGTTGTCAAACTTTCCCCCATCTCGTTTATGTCAGTGTAATTATTATGATGGACAGAAAGTTGCATGTTCTGCCTTTTAAAACAAAATACACACATCATAAGTGATTTTCCATGTCTTCCTTTATCAGCTCATTATATGCTAGCAAGCAGATGGACAGAAATTTCCTTTGCTGTTCCCCTATTTTGGGTTTCTTCCAGTGCAGACACATAGCATTTAAAATTCACCAGAAGCAGCAATCCCCCATTGCAGCACAACAGATATGACTGCACCTCTCTTTGGCTTTCCAGTCTAGTATTTGGAGTGTGTTAACTTGGGAAGATTATATACGCCTTTGAGGATGGAGTCTCCTGGCAGTTTCAATATGGCTGTGGAAGGCAAGGGTCTGCCGTCTTAAGGTCAGGTGGCCAGTCAGCTGGCCCTTCGCAGGAAGAACTGTCTGACTCTGACTGGCAAAACTGCTGTGACTCCAAGCATCCCTACTGTGAAAACTGACACACTACACACACTCTCACCCTCACACACCCTCACCTGGGGGACTGGGAGCTGAAGTCAAAGTTCCTGGACTGGGAGTGTGGGCCCCGGGGTAAGAGTTGGCTCCAAGTAATATATTATTTGCCGAGTTCTGATGAACACTGCAGATAACCATCTTTTCAATTGACAGTTTAGTTTCTTTTCTGGGAGACAGCCCCCATGTGGCAGCCCCCAGGTTGTGGGCTGGCTGGGCTCCAGACAGGCTTGCTCCCCTGAGATCTCAGCCCAGCCAGGGTGCCAGTGGCACTTTGTTCCTGCGAGTTTAGGCCAGGGGACTGGGGCTGCCTCTGGGCACATGGGCCTCTCTGCCCATCACCCCTAGATGACAGCCTGACTCCTACTTCCTGGGGCAGACGAGTTGGCAGTTCCAAGCTGGGACCTAATCCTGGAGAGGAGAGAGCAGGCTGCAGCTAGGGCCTTTTCCCAAGGGCAGAGGCCTTCTCCCTCTGCCCAGGCTGGCTCCACCTCCTTGTTTGGCTCTCAAACCTCAGAGTGCATGGGAATCACCTGTGAAGCTTGCTAGATGCCATGGCTTAGTTCTGTCCCCAGAGGTTTGGATTTGGTAGTTCTGGCAGGGCAGGGTGAAACCCAGCCACTAGCAGTCTGGCAGAAGCCACTCCTCGGGCTGGGGTTGAAATGTGTCCACCAGTTCCCAGCAGCTCCCTGTGTTCCCTGTAGGAGCAGCTGCTGGGCCGGATCCAGGAGACACAGCAGCTCTGTCTCCAGACCCTGTTCATCTTCGACGAGGCCGAGAAGCTGCATCCGGGGCTGCTGGAGGTCCTTAGGCCACACTTGGAACGCCGGGCCCCTGAGGGCCACAGGGCCAAGTCCCCAAGAACCATCTTTCTTTTTCTCAGGTGAGGTCTGAGGAGCACCAGTCAGGAGGGTGGATGAGGGGAGGGTACTAGCGGACGGTGGAGGGTTTCCACGCTCTCCCAGGCTACAGAAGGTCTTCCTCGGGACAAGCCAATGCAAACTCTGGCAGAGAGAGCAGAAACCTGGCTGCTTGGGTGGGAAGCCTAAGGTCTCCCTGCTCCTACCTGATTCTCCCCCAGGGCACTTCTGAGGGACTCTGGCCCCCAGCACAGGCTGGCTGATGAACTCACAGCCAGCTGGAGCCAGAGCAGGGCAGTGTCCCTCCTCTCACTCTCCACCCTTGGGATGTGGCTCTCTGTAGGACTGGGAGGCTCCCCCAGACTCCCCAGGGAGGGACCGCTCACACACTGAGAGTCCCCCTTAGAAGGACATTCAGTTTGCCAGTAAGCCCATTAGTTGAAAATCAAGTGCCAACTATCATTGGAAATTCCCAAGGAAGGCACGGTCCCCACTAAGTCCAGCCATAGAAGGTCTGCTGCTTCTCTGTTCATGAGAAAAAGCCACTGGCTTAACAGGATGTAATGTGTTGAATGAAGCACATTCTGAGCACCATAGTGAGATTGGCAACACTACCACGGCAGACCCCGTCACTTCACCACACTTTTCTCTGTGCTTTTGTTTAAATGGTTTTGCAGGAATCGCACTTAGAAGTAACTTGTCCAACTCTATCTTTTAACGGAGCTTCAACTGGGAGAGCCCTACATCAGTCAGGAGTCAGGCTGGGGCCCTTGTTGGTCCAACTTGAACACTTCACAACAGCTTCTTGCAGACTTGGTGGAAGTCACTCCCTTCCCCAGCCAGCACTTGTGTGCTGGAGGGCGTCCACGCTCTAGGGCGCACGTCGTGAGGACAGGAAAGCGTGTGGCTGGGGAAGGGCTGCTCATTTTCGTCCTAGCTTGGAGCGTGTGAAAGGGTGAGCTGCGGGAGGCGGACCACGCTGCAGTGTGGACCCGCAGAGAAGATGGCAGTCTGGTCTTGCCCCGGCTGACGCAGTTTGGTCCTCCTGTGCAGCCCGGCAGGCCGTCCTGCAGCGGTGGGGAGTGGGGCGGCGCTGCACCACGCAGAGTGTGCTGTGAGCAGCTGGTCTTGAGCGCGGGGAGGCCTGGACTGGTCTTGTCCTGCGGGCTCCGCCACTGGGGCTCATGGTGCTGGCTCCTTCTCTAGGAAGGAGCCGTGGGACCTCGTGGCTAGAAAACCTTGCATTCCTGCCTTACCTGCTTGGTCTCAGACTGTGGAGGGAGGAAGAGAACCCAGCCTGCTCTTCCCCTGCACCTGAGGCCTCAGGCACGAGGGAGGCACACACATGCTGGGCGAGCAAGGCCAGGAGCCAGTGCACTGCACCTGTTGGCGACCTGCAGAGCCTGAGGAGGGAAAGAAAGGGAGATACTGGATCCCCAGCCCTAACTTGCCACTACCTTCGCTCCCTCATTCCGCTGGATCTGGCTGGATCTGAGGACAAAGCAGGGAGGGAGCACTGGAATATGGGGTGGGCAAGGCCGCAGAATCTGAAGGAGCTGGCCAAGGCCAGCCAGGCCAGAGCCCAGGAAGGAAGATGAGTGCTGGAGGCGGGAGCGAAGCACGCACAGGGGCTAGCTGCAGGCCATTGACCACCTCCATCCCTTCTCCTCTGTTGGTGGCTCTACAATTTCCTCTTCTCTATCTCTGCTCTCCCTCATATCTCTAACCCAGTCTTCTTTCCTGTGCTTCAGACCCATAATTCCAGTTGCCCGATTATGTTACAATCTAGAGAGAGATCACAGGCAAGCGTGAAACCAAGCTTTCTTCTCTGTCCTCCCACCGTCCACCTGTGTTAAGGGACATCATGCAGCCCAAGGCGAACACCTGTTTTCTGTAACCTTTCCCTCACTTCTCACACCCACCAATTACAGGGTCCTCTCAACTGTGCCTCCAAAACTAATTCTTTTTTTTTTTTTTTTTTGAGACAGAGTCTCACGTTGTTGCCCAGGCTAGAGTGCGTGCCATGGCGTCAGCCTGGCTCACAGCAACCTCACACTCCTGGGCTCAAGCAATCCTCCTGCCTCAGCCTCCCGAGTAGCTGGGACTACAGGCATGCGCCACCATGCCCAGCTAATTTTTTCTATATATATATTAGTTGGTCAATTAATTCTTTCTATTTATAGTAGAGACGGGGTCTCGCTCTTGCTCAGGTTGGTTTCGAACTCCTGAGCTCAAAGGATCCTCCCTCTTCGGCCTCCCAGAGAGCTAGGATTACAGGCGTGCGCCACCGGGCCCAGCCTTTTTTTTTTTTTGAGACCGAGTCTCACTTTGTTGCCCCAGCTAGGGTGAGTGCTGTGGCATCAGCCTAGCTCACAGCAACCTCAAACTCCTGGGCTCAAGCGATCCTCCTGCCTCAGCCTCCCGAGTAGCTGGGACTACAGGCAGGCGCCACTATGTTCCGCTAATTTTTTGTATATATACTTTTTAGTTGGTCAGTTAATTTCTTTCTATTTTTAGTAGAAACAGCATCTCGCTCAGGCTGATTTCAAACTCCTGACCTCGAGCAATCTGCCTGCCTTGGCCTCCCAGAGTGCTAGGATTACAGGTGTGGGCCACCACGCCTGGTCCAAAACTAATTCTTAAATCCTCCTTTCCATCCTTCATTGCCACATCACCGCTACACATGGACTGTTGGCAAAAAGCTCTGTGTCTAGGTTTCTGCAGCCATCCTGTGCCTCTTAACCTCTGCAGCCCTGGACTGGTCTTCTTAGGACATAAAGCTGATCAGGTCACCCCACACTCCCAAGCTCAGAACTCTCCCGTGGCTCTCCATGGCCCATAAGCTAAACTCCATGTACATGGCAGACAAAGGTCGCCTCCCCCAGCCTTGCCTGTGCTCCTGTAGCCCCTCAGCGCTGAGCCCTGCAAACGTCTGGTGCCCCCGTGCCTGGGTACACTCCCTGTGCCTCCTGTCCGACAGTGACTCCTCAGACTGTCTGACTCACTACCGTCTGTGTCTGGGGAGAATGACCCCTGAAGCCTTCCCCCAGACCTTACTCGCTCCAACGTTAGCACCCACCAGACTGCCTGGAACCACACGCGTCTGCCCCGCTCATGACAGAAATCAAAGGAGAGAACCATGTCTTACCATCTCTGTGCTCCCTGCACCTAGCACAGTCTCAGTGTTTCCCAAAGGGAGCAAGAGAGGGAGTTGGGTGGCAAAGCAGGACAGCGTCTTTGCTGCACAGAGCTTTGGGTTGTGACAGGATCTCCTAGGAGAGAGAAGGCCCGAGCCCCTCGACCTGCACCCTTCCAGGCACCAATGTATTGGCTTCAGTGGTCAAGCGAGCCATTTGGAAGCTAAATATAAAACTAGAGAGATCCGGTAACCTGCTCTTACCCCTTTCAGTAACCTTAGGGGCAATATCATCAACGAGGTGGTCCTGAATTTGCTTAAGGCTGGATGGTCCCGGGAAGAAATTACAATGGAACACTTGGAGCCCCACCTCCATGCTGAGATTGTGGAGTCCACAGGTAAGTAATATTTCCAGCCATACAGAAAATAAGCCTCTGGTGAGAGCGACATTTGTATTTTTATGTCAGAAGGTATGTCTGCTTTGAAAGAGAACATTCACACTGGCCCTAGAAGCACAGGCGGTGGTCTCGGAGGCCCCCAGAGTCTCACTGTGAGAACCTCGGTGGTTCCGCCAGAGGTCGGATCTCTCTAGCTGCTGTTTTCTGTCGTCAAACAAGACTGTAAACCTGGCAGTCGGGCCCCCAGTCGCCCTGCTCTACCTGTGGCTATATCCATAGTTAACCGTGGCCCTCCATACCTAGAGGAGACAGCTGCAGAAACACATTCTGCAGACAGCCCTCCTGGAGTTGTTGACATGCGAGATCAAGATCAAACCTTGCCCGGGCCTTAGGCTTGGGGACACCTTAAAACTCCAGCTGGGTTCAGCCCCAGGTCCAACTCCATGTAACTTTGCTCTTGATTTCAGACAGTGGCTTTGGTCACAGCTGTCTTGTGAAGGAAAACCTGATTGACTACTTTGTCCCCTTCCTGCCTCTGGAGTACCGTCACGTGAGGCTGTGTGCACGCGATGCTTTCCTGAGCCAGGAGCTGCAGTACACTGAAGAGGCGCTGGATGAAATCGCCACAATGATGGCGTACGTCCCCAGCGAGGAACAGCTCTTCTCTTCTCAGGGCTGCAAGTCTATTTCCCAGAGAATTACCTACTTCCTGCCATGAAGGCTAGATAAAGGAGGGCCAGACTGGTCCAGCTATCACCAACATACAAGTGGTGTGTAAAAGGAAGTCCTTATGTTAGAAGTAGAGCCAATTCTTAAGCTTACTTGGTGCCTTAAAGACACACATTACAAAACGGTTAGGTGGTGGGAGACAGCAAACCCCAAGGGCTCCTTACAAGTCCACAGATGGTCTCCTTTGCACCTCAGCTCCTCCTTGCAGGTGCCTGGGCTTGGGTGTTGGGCCTCAGAGGCTGCAGGATCCTTGAGTTGCAGAGCAGGGAAGAATGAAGTTCTGTGACCCGGGAGTGCAGAGTATACCTCAGGTTTGCAAGCTGGCTGGGCTGGCTTTCAAGTGGTGACTCCCAGAGGAATGTTGAGTAGCTTCTGTTGCTTCAACAAAGCCTCAGGCTGAAGGGAAAAGTGCACAGAGGAAGATCCTTTTAAAGTCAGTTCAGTATCAGCTAAGACTTACTCTTCTACAGATTGAAAAACATTTTTTAAAATTTGGGGTCTTGACGTGACTATATCATACATAAAGATTAAAATTTTGTATTTTTCTAGAGTCCTTGGCCTGTTTTCTGAGACTTAGTAATTGCGCTCACTTAGCAAAATTTCAAATGCCGGTGGTCCTGCTGGGGCTGGCAGGGATGAGGTGGGTGCTGGCACGCGTGCAGCTGGCAGGGGTGCGGCTGGTCTCGCAGTTTACAGCAGTGTGATTTGAGACCACATCAGCTGAGCTGGGTTGCACCAACTTCTTACTGAAGAGGCTTCCACAGCACGTTGGTCTTACAGATGAAAGCCTTCACTCCTGTATTCTCAGCTTTAAAAAGGAAAGCAGTCATTTTGGTAAATTAAATGGCAATGTGTAAATGTGAAGCACTGGGCTTATGCACATAGTGCTCACTATGTGTTTTTTCCGTTTTCTTGCATCTTCCCTTCTCCCACGCTTCTAGAATAACACGTAGGTCTTTTTATTTGTCATCATCTAATGTTCCTCCTTATTTGTTTTTGAGACAGAGTCTCATTCTGTTACTCCGATTAGAGAGCAGTGGCATCATCATAGCTCACTGTAACCTCAAACTCCTGGAGAGAATTGCTCAAGCAATTCTCCTGCCTCAGCCTCCAGAGAAACCGGGACTACAGGCTCAAGCCACCATGCACGGCTAATTTTTCTATTTTTTTTTGTAGAGATGGGATCTTGCTCTTGCTCAGGCTGGTCTTAAACTCCTGACCTCAAGTTATCCTCCTTCCTGGGCCTCCCAGAGTGCTAGGATTACAGGCGTGAGTCACCACACCCGGCCATGTTCCCTCTTAGTTTAAAGCCCTCCCCAACCCTCTAGCCCCTGTGGAACTGAACACTTCTGTCTCTCCCCAATTCAACACTTTATTGTGTTCATTTACTCGATTAACTACCTCAAGGTTAGAAAGTAATACCTAGCCTGAGCCACACTAGACACCCAAATTAATTAAAGGAACTTAGTTTCATATCACTCATGGGACAAAAGTAAAGCTAACACAAATGGGGGCTAGGTTTGCTGCTATCTACTGTCTAGAGCAGACGTCCTCAAACTACAGCCTGTGGGCCACATGCCGCCTGCCTAGGACATATATCCAGCTTGCTGGGTGTTTTTGCTGCTGCTGCCTGTCCTGCTTAGCAGCCAACTTGTCCCGGGCCCACAGTGCGCATACTCCAACGGTCTGAGGGACAGAGAACTGGCCCCCTGTTTAAAAAGTTTGAGGACCCCTGGTCTAGAGCGTCTCAAAAAGAATATGCAGGCCGGGTGCAGTGGCTCACACCTGTAATCCTAGCACTCTGGGAGGCCCAGGCAGGAGGATCACTTGAGCTCAGGACTTCGAGACCAGCCTGAGCAAGAGTGAGACCCCATCTCTACCAAAAATAGAAATTAGCCAGACAACTAAAAAAAAAAATGTGTGTGTGTGTGTGTGTATATATATATATATATATACACATATATATATAGTTGTTTTTTTTTTTTAATTAGCCAGGCATGGTGGCGCATGCCTATAGTCCCAACTACTTGGGAGGCTGAGGCAGGAGGATCGCTTGAGCCCAGGAGTTTGAGGTTGCTGTGAGCTAGGCTGACGCCATGGCACTCTAGCCAGGGCAACAGAGTGAGACTGTCTCAAAAAAGAAAAAAAGTAAGGGGAGTTCAAAAAAAAGAATATGCAGGACACCTGATCTCACACACCAGGTTCTAAGCTCTGTAAATATACAGTATAAAGGGCATGTTCTATATCTTTCAATGTTAGAGACACATAACAGCTGACATTCTTTTAGCTTTTTTTTTTAGACATATCTATTTATTTGCATATTTAAAGTTTACACACATGCCATAAACTCCAATATAATTTAAAACAAAACAAGCCCTTAATGACTCTGAGACACATGGTTTCTTCTGGATCCCAAGCCAAGTCCCAAAGAGGAGGTAGAGCACATGTTCTATTTTATAAAGTCTCATGGTATGTAAGTGGTTAGGGAGAACTTGAAACCCAGCCAGGGCTAAGGGGTGGTGGACTGACACTCAGACCATTCCAAAGGGAATGCCATGGAAGAAGAAACACAAGTCTACACAAAAACCTTTAACATTTAACAGAATCACATTAATTCCAACAGCTTTACTTAAGCTTGGCCACCCAGTAAATTACACACTCAGGCACTTGGAAGGTTATTGCACAGCTCCTTAACTGATCGAGTCAGGGCAAAGTGGTCACTTACCCCACAACCAGACGCAACTTGCTTCTGCAAGGACACCACGCCTGGCACAGGCTGTGGCGTGGCTGCGGTTGAGCCTTGCCTCCAGGTTATAAACCAGTAAAGCAGCAGGCTTCTGATGGCTGCTTTCACTTCAGAGTGTCCTGTTGATTGCCGTGGAGCTTTCTGAATAGAGAGGCTGAGTCCCTGCCTGCTCAGTAAGACAAATAACATTTCCTGTAGCTATCTAGACCAAAGGAAGCAGTTAATAGTAAAAATGAATTTCAGTAGCATGTTCCTGACAGGTTACACAGCAGCCCTGGCTCAAGGATCTCTCCCCCTGCATGATTCCTAAGACTATTTGGTAGTTGATTCTCTGTTTTGGCAATTTGATGGTTTTGATGAATTTGCTGTGATCCAGGGGTGTTCAAGTACTTCTCTGAGAACTGGCCCCTGCCTTGGATTATGCTTCAACAGTCTGGAAATGAGGTCTCTCGCTCCCTCTGTTACAAAGTAGGAAGTGTGAATTCAACCTGTGATATTCTTCTGTAGGTCTCTTGGTATGTGCTTGTCTCAATAGGAGGCTTCCCAACTAAAAATTCATAGCAAAGAACTCGAAGGCTCCAGAGATTCACCTTCTCATCATGCATCCGACCTTCAATTATCTTGGGCGGCAGTCCAGGGTACCACAGAGAGCTGTTCTCCTGGAGGATGGAGCATGTACTGACCAGCCGAATCTGTGATCTTAAGCTCTCCAGCTGATCCAAGAAGCAGGTTCTCTGGCTTAATGTCTCTATCAATAACTCTCTTTGAATGGCAGTAGGACAGGGCATTTGCCAATTCTGTGATAGAAGTGGCAGTTCTCTGCTCATCAAACTCTGAAAGTTTCTGAAGTTCTCTATAGACTGTTCCAAGTGATGCATATTCTAGAATTAGGTGAACTCTGGTGGCATCATGGGAATAACCATACAGTCTGAGAAGGTTAGGGTGCCGAAGGAGAGACTATTTCCACTTCTCTTCTGAGCTGATGCTCTACTTCTGCTTTTTCCAGCTGAGCTTTAAATGACACTTTTGTTTGGCATCAGAAATACAAGATCTGAACCTCCCACCTTGGGAACCAAGAGAAGCAGCAAACAACAGTGGTTCCAACATGTTCTCTGGAGCCAGACTGGCAGGGCTGGAGTCTCACCGTCACCACAGTGAGGCTATGGGAAAGCAGTTTAACCTGCCAATGAGCTTTAGAAAATATAATTAAGTGTAGAGTTTATTTGCAGGCAAAGTTTGAGGATGGACAGCTAAGAAACCACCAACTCCAAATGAATTGGGTTAGTGCTTCCAAACCAAGGGAGTTAAAGTTTCACTTATATAGGCAGAGACAGACACCTTTTAGCAGGATTACAACATTTTCCATGCAAGATCAGGTGCACACACCACAGGGATTTGCTTGGTTATAGATTGCTACATTCCAAGGAAGATTACTTTGTTACTCCATGAGGAGGGGTAGCATCTGAGGGGCTCTTTACCTCTGATGGCATTTCATGTTAATTATTTACTGGCAAGGAAGGCAGGAATTACAGTTGCACTCTGCATGCCCAGGTTGCACAGCCACATTTTTTTAAGGCTCAAGATAATTTAAAGTTCCAGTACCTTTATATTTGAGTTATCAAGATCTTTCAAGAAAGCACTGTAGATGAACTCAAACAGTTTGGCTCCCTTTATGTTCAGGAGCTTAGTCCCATGTCACTAGGAAGGCTCATTTCTAGAGTGTCATGTCCCACAGTATGGGGAATTGGTCAGGCTACAAAGTTGATGGGGTATAGGCCGAAATTAAATCAATGTCAGGGAAGTGGCTCAGCTGAGTCAGGCTACACAGCTGTATCTTCAATTAATGTAATTTTTTTTTTTTTTGAGACTGAGTTACTCTGTTGCCTGGACTAGAATGCCGTGGCTTCAGCTTAGCTCACAACACCCTCAAACTCCTGGGCTCAGGCAATGCTCCTGCCTCAGCCTCCCGAGTAGCTGGGACTACAGGCATGCGCCACCATGCCTGGCTAATTTTTCTATATATATAATTTAGTTGTCCAGCTAATATCTATTTTTATAGTAGAGACAGGGTCTCACTCTTGCTCAGGCTGCTCTCAAGCTCCTGACCTCAAGGGATCTGCCCGCTTCAGCCTCCCAGAGTGCTAGGATTACAGGACTTAGCCACTGTGCCCAGCCTAATGTAATTCTTTGAGCAACTCTTATTTTAGTTTTTTTTAGCCGTATGTTGACTTCATTGCAAACAAATGCGTAAGAAGCAGTGAAAACAAAAACAGGACAAAACACAACGAATAATTATAATTTCTAGAATAAGTAAAAGCTTTTGTCACCATATTTGCCAAGATCCAAGCCAGCTGCTTAGCATATTGTTTACAGATAGAGTTGGATCTGAAAGTCTACTTGGGTTTTCATATTAGCCATTAATTTAGTGATATTATATGATTCATTTGAGATAAAGGCATAACATTCGGTTTTTATGATAGCACAGGTTATTCCTTGGGCTGCAGTATGTCTAAAGACAGAGTTTTGTAATACAGCCTTTTTTATAAAAGTAACTTCATTGTTTAGTAACAAGACAACCATGTAGCTATTGTTTACAGAGTTTTCTGTATTAATATGATTAGTTAGGGCCTCTACATGTCAAAGGACATCCTCAGTACCCAGCTGTCGCAAAAACAACAGCTAAATGATCATACCAATGGAATACAGAATGAACCCAATAAGGTTATAAATGAGGAAGATTTGAGGGCTTTGAAAGGGTATGATTTATTCAACCTTGTGCCGAGGTATAACCTAAAGAACACCAT